CACTCATTTCTGTTAGAGGCTGAGTCGACCTCAGGGCCATAGTGTGGATGGAAAGATTAGTTAATTGAAAAAAATCCAATGACCTCATTGGGATTTGATCCCATGACCTTCTGGCTTGTAGCATGGTGACTCAACCAACTAAGGTACTGGGAGTAATAATAGGACTGTTTCACGCAACAAGCAGAAACAACATCCATACCAACCTGATATCTGTAACTTCCCTCATCTTGAATGCATATAAACCTTGACTATAAATGTATTGTACCTACACAACTATACTAATTACAGAATTTTGTTTGCTGACTACTATCTCTGATAATAAGGAGGGGATGGTCACACATCTCAAATTTCCATTTGGAAGATCCCTTCTTCAAATCCTAAGATTAATGTTTCAGTAGAGAGAGGCAAATATCAGAAGAGGCTCTTCTAAACTGAGTGACAAGATTTGCCAAGGACAATTTGAATCTGTGTGATCTTATGCAAAAATTCTGGAATGATTTTTTAAGGAGTGGAGGGGGGTAACTAGAGATAAAAACAGTGAATTTGAATTACATTTTTCACATGCCATTATATCTAAGCACTGATTCCTACTGTCCTGCCATCTATTCAAGAAATTCTGCTACTCACCATTTTGGAAGAAGTTGAGTCAGTTCTTAATTTAACCTTTAAGTGATGGGACATTTAAATTCCGGTAGTGGTAGCGGGACGGAGTTAATTTAAATGCCCGCCACTGTAGAGTAATAAAAATTGTAATCATGTTACTCAAAATGCTGTGATTTCTACAATTTTTGTGATAAACGAACGAAATAAACGCTGCTTTTATCCTGAAAGAATATAGAATCAGATATTGTAATTTACAGGTTTTAGAATCTGTAAAAATTTTTGCACTGATTCCAAAAAAAAAATTCCCAATTTTGAATATCTGTCCACAAATATGCAGAAAGTTTCTGCACAAAACATTTCTCCAGTATAAATGCATGCTGATGACGTACTCTCTTCCTGTGTCTCATCCTTCAAAGGGGGGGGGGAGGAAGATAATGTTTGTCCTCCACATTCTCCAGTCATGTCGTAACCTTTCTACTATTGCACGAGTGGGCGCAAGTCTTATCGTAATTTATACTTCAGAAACATTGCCTCTTTATATCTCGGACTAGCCACACAGAGCGGCCTCTCAATCTCATCTTCTTCCATGCAAAATGGAGCTATGTTGGATAGTTCAAATTGCAATGTTTTATAAGCGTTATGATTCTGTTTACATTTCGGACTAAACACACAGAGCTACTGTTCTTGGAATGCCTTTCAGTCTCGTCTGTAATGCATTCTGAATTGGTGTAATTTATGAGCGGCTTATTGCATGCGAAATGGGGCCATGGTGGATACTTGAAATTGTGATGTTTTTAAGCGATGAGATTAGAATTGTCCTTCAGAAACCCTGACTGTGCATTTATTGAACTAACCAAACAGAGATACTGTTCTCAGCATAGCCATGCACTACCAGAACGTTCTAGCCTAGCGCGTTGTGTTGTGAATAAAACATCGCAATTTGAACTAGCCAGCATGACCTCGTTTCACTTAGAAGAAGACGAAATTGAGAAGCAGCTGATTATTGACACCGATTCAGACTGTGGTACAGAATATTCTGATAGTGGCGAGGAAATAACGGGCTCAGAACCCGAAGTCGATGAAGACCCATCATCTTCATCAGCAACCTGGGGACCAGCACACCAGCATGGCAGGAGGCGTGTGAATAATTATTCCGGTGGAGCTGTGGGGTTAAATATTAATGAAACTCCACACGTAAATGAGGATTCCACCCCTTTCTGTGTTTTCATGCTATACTTCGCAGGGATTATCCGTCTGCTGGCGGAAGAGACTGAAGAAAGGTGACATTCGTGTTAGGGTGAGACAGAACTTGACAGCGCTAGTTTGAAAGGACAAACATGACGTTTACATGCTGACAAATATGCACTCTCCTCCAGCAGAAGGCAGTTTCTGTGATGAGCATGGAAATGCCATCAAGCCAGCAACTGTTGCTAACTACAACAAGCACATGGGTTATGTCGACAAAGCGGACAGAATGGCAAACAGTTATAGCATCTGTCGTCGAACCTGGAAATGGACAAATAAATTATTTTTCCATCTCCTGGATCTGACGATTCTGAACAGTTATATCCTGTTGTCATCCTGTGGCGCGAAATTGTCACACAGAGAATTTCGTCTCGCCCTTGTGCGGAACATGCTGGAGCATGCTGGAAGGGGCCCTCAACGGCCCAGGGGTCGAACCCCTGCCGTTTCATCGGGGTCACTTCGAATAGAGGAGGCCAAACAACAGCACTGGCCGACTTCCTCTACTTCGAAATTGAGGTGTTGAGTGTGCTTTTCGCGTGGGAAACGAAGAACCGTCCGGATAAAGTGCGTGAAGTGTGATGTGGGACTTTGCATTTCCGGATGTTTCCAAGATTTCCACACGAAGCCAACATTCCGTTAGACGACGCAGGTGGGAAGAGAGACAACTTATAAAGCTGGTGACCAAAAATCATGTAAGTAGAAAAAGAATTTATGACTTAAAATTATATTTTAAAAAGCTGGCCGCACGCGTGGACTGCGCGACGACATATGGCGTCATTCGTCCCCTTGACTTTATTTTCATGACGCCATATGGTGTCGCTCGGCTCTTAAAGGTTAAATAATTTCTAGAAATCTCTTTCCAATTACAATACTGTTGTTTTGGAAACAAAAGGCCACTGTACAGCAAATATGGATAATACAAAGTGTTAAGAATCAATGGAAATTTGTCCTTGGCAAAAAAAATTCCTTTAATGAGGCATCTGAGTGAAAACCATTACTGCAACTTGCCAGGTAAATACTGTGGTGTTTGTTCTGAGTCCCACATCTTGGGCACTACAGCTATGAAATATGCAGCAACAATGCAAGTTCTTCTGCAGCTACACAAACCCTCATTCCTCTGCTTTCACAGATCATGTCAGAAAAGTAAATGACTCAGTTTGCAATGTGATATCTCAAATGGACAAAGCATGCTTCATCTTCCACTAAGATTTGGTTATTTATATAAGAAGAGAACCAAATGTTCTAGTAGCTAAAATATTACTCTCAAACACTGTTTTTAACATTCCATGTGTTTCTGCATTTGTCTTTGCCAGTTTGACGAAGAATTTGAAAAGAAAATTGCTTTTCCACATCAGCCAACTCTCACAATAGACAAAACTGCAGGAATAAAGTCAGCAAAACTGTCACAGATGCCATTTTGAGCAGACCTCTGTAGTTTGAAATCTTGTAACTCTGAATGACATCAGCCCTCAATACAGAGTGTCCACATTTTTGATGTTTCAAGTTATCACATTTTCTTAACCATGACATATATATATTGTAAACGTGTTTGGGAGTAGGTACTTCCATGGTAACGCAATAACAGTGGGCCATTGCGTAGGAACTGCACAATCAACGAAGCAGTGTTTCCCCAGAGATGAACAACAGACGGCCCGTTGAGTAACAACGGATGAGACGAAACACATTACCAGTGTATAAACAGCGTTCCCAAAGCAACGGATTGCCGAACACATGAGATCAAACCTTGGCAAGGGGTGTCCTCTACTGAGTCCGCAGAACACCTACATAAGCCGAGAGCTACAGACAGCAACAACACAGTTGAAACCTAGTCACCATACAAGACAGTTGAAAGATAGCCACCGCAGAATACAGTTAAGTGATAACAATTGTAAGGTGTGTAAGACTGAGTGTCCAATAAAGATTCGCTGAATCTGAGACCCACATGAAGTTTTTTGTTGCGTGACATACCCAACCAGTGACAATATATATATATATCAAACAAAGAAAGCCTAAAATCATAGCCTGTTCTTAGAATTTGTGTTCGTAAAGTTCCACATGTGCAGCTCCTGTAACACAGCACACATGAAGACAGCATTCTCTTGTGGCACAATGATTCTTCTTCCACACCCCACCCCTTTAGAGTCCACCATAATGAGAATGACTGAAATTCGTAACTGCAAAAACGTTTCATTTTCCACAACTAGAAGAAGTATAAATTTTCCTCAAACATGGCGTACTGCCCTCTTTTCAGCAGTTTTGTTCAAGTTGTTCAAAATGAAAAATTTCAAGGTTGTTGGATGGATAGTAGTAGTCCTGCCTCTTGGGTTCCCAGATTTCACATCTTTTGGCTTTCCTTTTTTGGGGTACATGTACAAAGTGCAGTTTAAAAAGCAGATGGAGAAGCAGACAGTGTTAAAATATCAAAATATAAGATTACAGCAGTTACTGAAACTATGATGTCAGAAATGCTCAAATATGTTTGTCATCTCAATATCTACTGCTTTACATGAAATGAACATGTGAAAATTTTATTAAAGCAAATTTTAAGTGTGTGTCATTACTTCTGTATTTGTTTTACTTAATTATGCATCATTACTTATTTACTCACGGATCTGAGCCCTTCTTGAGGAGCCAATTCTGCAGCTACTCAAGAATTTCCCAGCATTTTATGAAACCTGAAGGTTCATTACTGTGTTCACAAGAGCCCTCCACTGGTCCCTATCCTGAGCCAGATAAATCCAATCCATCCTATCTTATCTCTCTAAGACCCATTTTAATACTGTCCACCCACATATGCTTTGGTCTTCCCAGTGGTCTCCTTCCTTCTGGCTTTCCCACTGATATCCTATATGCAGTCATCTCCCCCATTCGTGCTACATGCCCTGCCCACCTCATCCTCCTCGACTTGATCATTGTAATTACACTTGGAGAAAAGTACAGGTTATGAAGCTCCCAATCATGCATCATACTTATGAAAACGACACTCTACATTAGTACAAGTCACAAAACAAGCAACAGTCATCCTACTGATGACAGAACTTCCAGAAAACAATTAACAACACTGACTGCACAGAAGAACTACAAACCTTCAGCTTACAAAGACTAGTCTATTATAACAGAACAGACAATAATAGCAGATGATCAATTCTTACCTTCTCATCATGCGAGGCCAACAGCATATCAAGCCAAGGATAGAATAATCCATCCTCTGCCAAACCCTGTGGATTGAAGCATGGCCCACAGCAGAGCAGAGCACTCATGGCCTGCAGAGCTGATAGCTGAAGTTCTGAGCATGGCCGCTCATCAGCTTCCAGAGCAGATATTGGGTGACCAAGTGGCCGGCCAAATCGTCCACTCCATCCAGCAAACACAGTGAACAGGTTGCGACGCACATCTCTCTTCAAGAGTGTGACACAAGTTTCCACTGAAATTCAATGATACACCATTTCAACTTCAGTATTCTTTTTATTTGTAAACTACGTGTACATGAGTAGGAAACCAGTTGCATAAAGCAGATTTTATATTTTACTAATCAGTAGTAAAAGACATTAAGATATGTCCAGCTACTGTGTGAATATTTTGTAAAAAGCTTTCAATAAAATTGCCTATAATTTTAACTTAATTTTCTACATAAGTTCTCAATTAAAACACTAAATTGTAAATGTTCTCATTTTTGAACTCATGTTCTCTCTTGGGGGAGGGGGGCCAAAAAGTGATCCAAAATAAATTAAACCTGAGAAGACAACTAGGCCATCCTTGAGGTATTAAACTTTCTAGAATGTGGAAATACATCTCACTTCAAAGGTAAATTAAAAATACAATATACTCTATATTATCTGGTTTGCATATTAACCACAGAATATCCAGAACCCTGTATTCATTGATAAAAAGTTCAAGTAATGATATGTGCTGAGCATGACAGCAATGTGTATCACGGAAGCTTAAAATAATTTGCAGAAGACTGTATTTTCAATTTTATTGTTTTACTGCTTTTTTTACCTGCAGGCCTATTATCACCAAACAAAGATCACTTTCTCCTATGTGAAAGATATTTGTCTCATTTTTGGTAACCAGTTGCATGACCAGTAAGTGATAATTAAGTGATTTTCAGGGTTTAATGCAGCATGGATTGTGGATATTTTCAGATTTTTCGATTATCCATTGATTTTAAATATCTGGGCTACTTCTAACCTCCATTATTGTGGAAAATCAAGAGTTCACTGCATGGCTTTCACAGCCAGCACTGCATTTATCAGATATCTGTACTCACACCTAGACCACTGACCACAGTGTATAAGCATGAACTCACACTAATACATCCGGTTACAAGCAACATAGTAGCTTCCCTGCCCCTTCTCCCACCAAGCACCCACATGCGCATGACAATTACGTAAATGCCTTGTAAAATCTTACATGAAAAACTCTTGATCATCTTGCGAATAAAGTTGCAGAAGTGCAATTTGATGTCCCTTATAGCTGAAACCTCTTTGTCTGCTTCATTCTCGAGGTACAAACGAGCACCATCAATATACTCAACAAATGTTGGATGAAGAGACTGCGTATCTCTATCCAAGACACAAGGGCTGTAATCAAAATAATGTATGCCTCAGTGTTAGGCAGTCCTTAGCATGCTCCACATATTTGGTACTGTCAACAGAAATATGAATTTATGTGAGAGAATAGCGCCGGTCTTCAAGTATCTATCACTATGGTACAATATCATATGGTGCAGGTCTCATCAAAAGGTGTTCAAACTCTGTGCGATTCCAGCACTACTAAGAAACATTTCTGGTCTCATATTTACTGGACCCTCTTGATGTACAACATTTGAAAACACTTTCCAAATTTATGGCAAAAATATATTTAAATAGTGGATTATTGAATTTTTCGTACACCATGGGATATTATTACATATGGTGTACATATACAAAACAAACTCCACGGTTCTAGTCCGCAAGCAAACTATACCGACCAAGTGACCGCCACTAGTTGGCGAAGTTGGTGCCAACTTTAGCAGATAGAGGGTGTTGCATGGTCAGTGCAACAAGTCCCCATGGCAGTCCCCAGTCCTAGACTGCAGCCACTATTTCCTTGAAATAGCTCATCAATTATCCTCATGAGGCTAACTGGACCCCATTCCATACCCACTACTTCTCAGAAAATTTGATAGTGCTGGTAATCAAACCCAGACCACTGCATCTGTAGCCAAGAACTCTGATCATTAGACCACAGAAGTGGTCGATGTACATATAAAGCAAGCAAATAAACATCATACTACATACAACCGGTTTAACTCAGAAGCCTTACCTGATACCAAATGTGCCATACTCTGCCACAAGTTCAAAAACTCTGACTAACTGCAGTCTCAAGGCATCACGTCGTCGCCTACGTCTCATATTTTCTTGCTTTCTGTCAACAGCTTCACGGATATATATCACCAGTTCCTCCATCAGATCCCTGAAAAGAATGAAAATGTTAACAACAGTCATCCCATTCTTTGCTCTGTAGAACGTGCAAATATGGAAATGTATGCCTCATAAACATTGTGTCCTACAGTATTTTTAATACAAGTAGCAGACTCATACAATATCTGTATAGCTGGAATAATTACTTCTCTTATTTATTGATGTATATGGGGTTAGTAATATTTGGAAGTTGAAAATACATACAACTGAGCCATTAGCATCTCAGCCTAGCCTGTCTGATGATGAAATGGCTATTGGAAAGTCGAAAAGGTATAAATTGAAATACACAGTGTGACAATTAAGTTCCCAAATTGACACTATTACAGTAATAATACAAATGCCATCTATCGGGGATGAATGGGACTAGTTAGAGAGAACATTTACTTATATGATATTTACTTTTTTTTATTGCTAGTGGGGTGGGACTGCGGCCACTTCTGGCCTATTGTACCAGCCCCAGATTATAGGTGAGGGTGATTGAGGTGGAATGAAGATTGGCAGGGGAAACCGAAGTACTCAGAGAAAACCTGCCTTGGCGCCACTTTGTCCATCACAAATCCAACTTGACCAGACCTGGGATTGAACCCAGGCTGCAGCAATGGGAAGCCGCTTGAGCTATTGCGAGGCCCTATATGGTACGTAAGTTTCAACTTGTTTTGTTGATGCCCATGAGGATTACATTTGTGTAGGTAAAGGTAGTTTTTTTGTCATGTTAAAGGTTTCAAAATGGAAAAAAGAGCCGCGATTAAGTTTTCTGTAAAATTAATTGCTGCTCTTTGTTCCATTTTGAAAACTCTGAAATGTTTCAGATTTTTGAAATGTAGAAAGGTGCATATGGTGAACAATTTTTATTCAGAAAAGTGTGTTTGAATGGCACAAAAGGTTAAAAATTGCTCAGAAAGTATGAATGCAAAAATCTTGGGCAAAAACAATGTTGACTGCATTTTTTAATGCTAATGGTATCATGCATCATGAATTTGTGCCAGAAAAACAGACTGTAAACAGTAAATTTTATAAAGAGATCATTAAGAGATTTACAGCTCAAGTTCATCACATTAGGCCAGAATTTCAGGAAGTGGGTCCTGGTAACTTCTGCACAACAATACACCAGCACATTCTTTGGCCAGTTTCTCCGAGTTTTCGGCAAAACGAAAGATCCCCATGTTATCCCATCCATCCTACACCCGATTTAGTGTCCGCTGACTTTCTTTTTAATTAAAAATGTGATGAAAGGGACAAGATTTGAGACTGTTTCATCAACCCAGCAGACTGTGACGAGAACTGAAGGCGATGCAGGAAGAAGCGTTTTCTCAGACATTCGATTCATTGTATGAGCAATGTAAACATTGTGCAGAAGTGGGCAAGGGCTATATTGAGTGTTGGGATTAATAAATATTTTTTATCTTTCTTGTGTTGTTTTTATGGCCTCAGTTTGGGAACTTAATTTCCACTGTGTATACTGATTAAATTCTGGCAGAACTGATTCAAGCAGGGGGTGAAACATTACATGCTGAGATCCATAAATTCATTAATTCTACCTGGAATATGGAAAAATAGTTTTAGCCGTGGAAGGAGTCTATTACTCTGCCTACATACAACAAGTATTATCATCGTGTATTACTTACTTAAGAGCCTCCGAGTTCACTTTGCCAAGAGCATGTACCGCAGCATCCCTCACATCAACAGTTTCACAGCGCAACAGAGGAACTACCAACTTGTACAGTCCTGTTGGCGACACATTGCCTCCAGGGGACTTGTTGTCATTGCGCTCAGTTGACAGACTGTCTGGAGATGAGCTGTAAAACAAAATATATCATCTGAACAAAGTGCTCTTCAGTTCATTTACTGACTGCTGAATGTGTATAGGTATTCTGTAGCAAAGGTGACCAGCTGACATGTATCTGATGACCAAATGTTCATAATAGAACGTGAAAAAAGGCAATGGCCCATTTCTATATTTCTGGGCTAGTAATACTCGTAATAGTCATAGCATTATTAATTTATTGAGTACATAAGCAGAAATGTTATCATTTTTATGTGATCAAATAAGTGCAGAAAAGAGAGACAATATAAGACAGTGAAATATTACAGCATACTTGAAAAACATGCTGGACAAATTCAAAATCCTTTACCAAAATTCCATAAAAAAAGAGGAAAAGAAAAACATGTGATCATTTATTCATAATTTCAATCAAACTTATGAAAAGGTAATAAAATACAATATTTTAATGAAAATAAACCGAAAAATAAATCAACTGACATCATACCAAATAAAAACAAACTCTGTGATTTCAGGCCACAAGCAAACTATACCGACCAAAAGACCTCCGCTTGTCAGCGAAGTTTAGTGCCAACTTTTGCAGATAAAGGGTGTTGCGTGGTCAGCGTAATGAATCCCCACAGCTGTAATTTCGGTTTTCTAGACCGGAGCCGCTATTTCCTTGAAATAGCACCTCAATTATCATCACGAAGATGAGTGGACACTGTTCCAGACCCACTACTTCTCCGAAAAAAATCTGGTAGAGCCGGGAATCGAACCCAGACATCTGGATCTGTAGCCAGAAACGCTGACCACTAGACCACAGAGGCTGTCACTGCTATCAAACCAGAACACATCAATAATAAAGCCTTAAATAAAACATAGTTAACAAATGAAAAAACAGCTAAACCTTTAGAGAACAATGTTCTTTAATCAGGGACTGATATGGCAGAAGTTAATGTCTCTCAATGACACAGAGGCCAAATCCAAAACTGAATGAAACTTGAAATTGTTTATCAGAATCCAAGTGCATCTCAGGTTGTAAGATCACCCTCTCACCTGCTGTATTTTTGCCGGTTCTTGGACTGAGGAACAGCCATGAGACCTAAAGACTGTGTGTAGAGCACCAGATTCTCAATTGAATCACTCAGTAAATTCGTCTTCACTGATGATCCACAATCCTGCACACTTTAAATCAATATATGGCCAGAAGTAAAAACTGACATGATGCCTGTTAAGTATAAGCATCCATGTGATGATGTAAACAGAATGCCACAATATGGCATGGCAAATGAAATTGAGTACAACATTACTGACGCAACGAGGAACATACATATTTTTTCCAATGACACAAACACTGCCACAGTGAAAACACACCAATAATTAGTGTTTCACCAACACTTGGAAGTACAATCGTCAGAAGAAACAATTCCCTTCTCCCACCATTCAGCAAACTGATGACACAAACTTCAGAACAGCAAAGCCAAAGTATCAGCACCACCATCAACAATCCAATGCCTCACATTTCCAACACAAGCCTTGAAAGCCACAACAAACCGCAACATAAAATGTGACTTCACCATAGTACACCCTAAAAGATCTTGTTCAATGGGTGCATAAACCTGTTGCATACACACACTGTATAGGCCATTCACGAGTTCAGGAAATTTAAGATCAAAATATCCTTGTAGGATTTTAGGTACTCACGCAAGTGGTTATGAAGCGTTATAACTTTGGGAATATACTGCCATGTAGTGTCCCCAAAATCGACCAAAGCTTCCAAGGAACAAGTTGCCTCCATCTCCAGGGTCAAAAAATAAACCAAGCAAGAAACCATTGTGAATGTAAGTGACAACCAGAACTCTGCTGGTTGCTTGCTTGGCTTATTCTTTGACCACGAAGATGGAGACAACTTGTTTCTCTGAAATGTCAGTTGACTTTAAACTACACAGCTCTATATACACTTCAAAATATCCTTGGTTATAGAACATATGAATATCCTTCAAAATACTCATTTACAAAACTGTTGATGACAAATAAATTAGCCTTACATGAGCAAACACACAAAATCTCTGAATGATGACTTCATAAAATATGCAATAATCAAAATAAAGCAACATAAGCAAAGGAACAAGCCTAATTGTGACATATATCCTGCTTCAAAACTCACACAATACATGAAAACTAAACAGTTATCAAAGGAACATGAACTGGTGCAATAAAAATGCAAGTGATATCAATTACAAACATTAACAATCTATTCTTAATTACTCTTACGCCTTGAATGGTGGCTGTCTATGTACCACTTCATCATAATGACCAATGTCTTTCATTTACTACTCTTACAGAAAACTGTTCTCTTCTCTTCCAGAACAGTCATATACTGAAATACATACACTGATAGAAAGAGGAAGAGAAGAGAAAAGAACAGAAAACTGTACAAAGATTATACAAAACGCAGTTCACAATTGTGAAATAAGCCACTCATTTTATTGGTAAAGGTAAAGATGAAGCTATTCCTCTACTTAATTACACAATTAAGCACCGCATCATGAAGGCATATGAAAAAGAGAAGGTACAGCTCCACCATTCTTAACCTTGGCACTAGTTGGAGGTGACTGGTCACCTTCAAGCCCCAACCACTCTACCCCTGGGGATACGGCCCCCGGTACCCAATGGATAGCAAGTTAGGTGAACCTCAGAGCCAGTCTGGATGCTAAGGAGAAGAATCTCTTGCTTCTGCCAGGAATTGAACCCATAATCCATCCCATAGTCTAGTAACTATAATGACTGAGCTATAGAGTTTTAGTAATTACTACAATTTTGCTAACCCATACTGATATGTTAAGTCTACTATGGTCATATGTTGTGGGCACCATCCTATATTATACACTATGATGCCATTATTTTTTAACAAAAGCCATCTTTTGAAAAGAATAATGTTTTCTAAGTTGGATGTCATTTCATTTCTGAGTATCAGAGAGTAGTACAAAATACATTCTGATAAGCAATGTTTTCTAAGTCACAAATTAGAATAAAAAATATTTACACTGATTTACAGGAAAAATTTGGGAATTAGAAAAATGAATGTCATTCTGAAAATCCCATTAATCTAACAATTACTATAACAGTAGTTTAGCTATAAGGAAATTTAAGACAGGAAAAAGCATTAAGTTTGGCACTAAGATCCACATCAGAAAAAGAATTATTTTCAATGAAATTCAGCAAAAAAAAAATACATTTTCCTTATAAAATACTGAAATTCTTCCTGCCATACCTCATGCATATTTGAGATGGCAATGTACAAGTATAATAATTTCACTGTGAAAAAAGTAGGTCACAATTCACTGATGGGCTTTGGAAAGATACAACAGGGACTTAAAGATGGTTTGAGCCAAGTTAAAACATGAAAAATAAGGTCAGATAAAAAGTAGTGGCAACACCTCTATAGTCCTGAAATTACTTTATTACCGGAGGTAAACACACTTACATTCCTTCAATATAATCACCCCCCATGTGTACCACCTTCTGCCAAATTTGCAGAAGGCGTCGTACACCGTGAGCATGTCCACTTCTCTTGATGTCCAGCAGTGACTGCCCTACGGCATGAATAATCTCCTCTCTTGTGTTGTAACGTGTCCCTCGCAGTGGTTCTTTCATTTTGGCAAAGAGATCATAATCACATGGACTCATATCAGGTGAGTATGGCGGATGTTGCAGTATCTCCCATCGCCAGCGGCGAAGGAGATCCTTGACAGCATCAGCAGTATGAGCCCTTGCATTGTCTTGAAGGATGATGGGGTTCGTTGCCAACAAGTGTTGTCGCTTTCTCCTGAGTGCTGGATGAAGATGATTATGCAGGAAATTGCAGTAGTAGGTAGCGTTTACTGTCTGTCATTGAGGTACAGTGTGGTGCAGTGTCACTCCATCAATGTCATATGCCACAATGAACATCGCCTTCACATTACTCTGTGTAGGGAGCACTTTCTTTGCATGAGGAGAGGCAGGATGCTTCCATTCATTTGATTGTCACTTCAAGTGTAGTTCGTAAGAGCAAGCCCAAGTTTCATCCAGAGTGACAATCTTTCCAAGGAAGTTGTCACCTTCCCTCTGGTACCCGTCCAACAAGTCCTGTGCAATTTCGTAACGTTGCCATTGCTGCACCTCAGACATTGTATTGGGTACCCAATGAGCTGCAATTTTGCAGTATCCAAGAATATCATGCAGAATGTGGAGAACGGTTTTGTGACATACGCCTACCTCAGCAGCTAACTCCCACGCAGCCCATCGACGATCAACATCCAGCAAAGAAGTAACAAGCTGAATTGTGTGGTTGTCAACATGGGGTCGTCCTGAAAGACGGCTGTCCTGAATGGCATCCCTCACTTCACAGAACAATTTCTCCCACTGTGCCACTGCGCAATATGGCAAAGCAGCATCACCACATGCTTCTCGCCGTCCCTGATAACAGTTTTGTGCACTGCGACCTCATGCAACTTCAATTTTTATCCAGGAACTTTGTTCTTAATGTTATATTTTAGCGTCCTGTTGCACTGATTTATGTCCATGATTTATTCCAGCCGTCTTACAGTGCATACACTCAACCACTTCACTCTTCACTCCCGCACTACATGTTTCGGCACAAAGGTGCCATCTTCAGGTGCTTTTTGATTTATGCTAAACTACNCTCCGAGAGAAGAAGATAGGTGTCACTAGCGTATTGAGATTCGACGTAGGGATAAAAAATCCTGAACAGTTTTAATATTTTTAATATTAATATTTATCACTATATATGATGAACATATATTTTAGTTATTTTAGTATGAAGACGGCAAGGCATGCAGTGAAGTAGTTTAGCGTAAATCAAAAAGCACCTGAAGATGGCACCTTTGTGCCAAAACATGTAGTGCGGGAGTGAAGAGTGAAGTGGTTGAGTGTATGCACTGTAAGACGGCTGGAATAAATCATGAACTTTGTTCTTGTTTCGTAAACATGTTGTTAGGGTGGCTGAACTGGGCTCCTGCACCTCAAGACGATGCACAATGCAATTCAATGAAACACAGCCAGAGCCACTCACTGCAATACTTCAACTGAACTTCTGCTATCAGCTACAGACGGCGCTAGTGCCACTTGACACACATCTTTCACGTTACAGCTAAGTTGCCACTACCTTTATCCAGCCCTTGTATAATACAGGTTCTCTTTCATAATACGTTTCCCATTTCATGCAAAAAGACCAAAGAACCTGGTTATATTCATAATAAAGGAGTAAAATGATGCAAATTGCTTCAAACTACAGTAGCAATTATCATATTATTATCATATGACAGTAACTGCATTATCCATTACTAATGAAGCTCACAAACTCCTTTACCTGATAAACAAAAGAAAGAAGTGCCGACAAAAAGCAAATACGAGTAAAATAAGCAGTGCAAATAGATACTAGTGTACCATGTGAAACACTAAAGCAAACAGTGCGGCTGCATTACTGTAAATAACAAAACCCTTTAGTTAATATGTACAGAGCTAGCATAACTAAAAACATCTGATGGTCCTACTTTCAAAAGTATCAACAATGCAGAGCACACATTAAAATTTCTATAGCCTATGATTAGTGCAGCACTTGAAGCATTTAATTATCAACACGTACCTCAGACTAAGATCCGGAGATGCACATCTTACCACAGGGCTTGGAACAGGAGGCACAACTCGGAATGCAAATGTCACGTAATTCTTCCATACATGCATGTAAATATCCCTTTCATTAACTGGTTTCCTTACAGTAGCTGAACCCCTCAGTAAAGAAGCTCTGTTATCATTCACAGGCCTGTATTAAAAGAAAAATAATATATATCACAAAATAAAGTTATGTAAGAACACATACAACTAGGCTAACAGAATTTATTCTCTCGTACACACCACTCATTGTGAACTAAACATACTAAAGCAGAAGATTTCAATTAAACTGACATATTTATTCAGAGAATACTTCTATCCAAGCATATTTAAGACATACTGTAACATGAGAACTCTGTTGCTAAAGGGATTTAAAAGAAGAAGGAAAATTTGTTAACACATCATTTCTTTTTTAATTTAAACTAATGTACAAAGCAAAGTTTTCCCTGTGCTTACTTAAGTAAGCACCATGTCATGAAAATGCATGGTGAAACAGAGGAACAGCTCCACACCTCAGTTGCTTTACCCTGAGGAAAGAGCCTCTGGAACGCATTAGGCAAGACACTGGGTGGACACAGGGCACTTTGGAGAAGAGAAAAATCCCCTACCCTTATCAGAAACCAAATCTTGATTGCTTGGCTGTCCCACAGCCTGTCACTATAACAACTGACATATCACCACTCAGCTACTGTATAGTAACAACATGGAATGAGAAATAACCTCTAAACCAGACATCATATGGCATGTAAACTTAGTACATCACATTAAAATATCAAGGATGATATTACTGATGCAACATGTAGTACACATGGAGGAGATAAAAGGTGTATAAGTAATTTTGGCTGATAAAAAAATAGGGAAGAATTCCACTGTGTTGATACTTACGTTGGGTCAACAACTGTAAAGAGAGTATTTATTCTGCCATACACAACTGGCCAGGAATGCATAACAGCAGATGGACAGAGGGTAAGAACACGACCTCTTTCCAGAAATCCAAACAAACAGGTACTCCAAGGATCAACGCCATTCAGATTTAAAGATGAAGAACTTTTGGTGCTGTTTTCATCCTGGAAACCTGTAGGATAAAGAAGAGTGGTCACTAACTGATTCTATTATATTGTTTTAATGTTTCATTTCAAACATATGAGATTCTTGTCAGTACATCACCTAAGACAATGAACTTCATTGTGCAAACTTCTTCTGTTTTCAGATACTCATATTTACTTCATTATCTTTCCATTAACTTCAAGACCAGAAACATCCAGTTTATAAAAAAACTTATATAATTAAATTACATATACAAATGTGGATCACAACAAAGCTATTATTTCTACAACTTAGGATATTTATAAATAAATAAATATTACACACTATAGGTTCAGTATAACTCTGTACATGTCTCTGGATGGTCTACATTACATGGCAGACAGGTAGATACAAATATAACATGACAACAAACCAAATACAAACATGCAAGTCTTAGTTTAGAGGGAGTGGGTGTTCTCCAAGTTTTCCATTTTCTTCCTGCTAATCATCATCCCACCATTACTTCAAACTCAACTACCACCACCCACTGAGATACACAACAGCTCTGCCTGTAGAGTACATTATCACATCTTTGACCTTGAATTTTTGGGATTTATCTCTGACAGAGCACTCATTTGCCTACAGAGTAAGAATGTTATGTACTCATCTAAAGTAAAAGTAAAGTAAAGGTATCCCTTTAACAGGCCATGGAGGCCCATGGAGTTGTGAGATGTTGAGACTCCCACATTTGGCTCGCAGATGGCGGTGAAGTTGTCAGCCTTATGCGCTGGCTGCCCTTTATCCCTAGGAATATTCCTGTTACTCATTTCCATTAGAGGCTGAGTCGACCCCAGGGCCATAGTTTGGCTGGAAGAAGTAGGTAAATTTTAAAAAATCCACCTCATCAGGATTTGATCCCATGACCTTCCGCTTTGTAGCATAGTGCCCCAACCAACTACCATACCATGTGCCCCATATACACACTCATCTCATAAAAAAAATCAATACAAAACATGTGTGAAATAAAAATGAAAACCTTGAATTTTATCATCTGACCAGCAGTATTCAATTTATCATTCTTCATGCCCAACCAGTACAAGCTGGAATAATTTAAAGCTAGAAAAAACATAAAAAGTTGACATCAACCAGTATCCTGACTTAGCATAAAAGTTTCTGGGCCTCAAAAGAATTACCTGCAGTCCACACACATGAGCTGCGGTCTGCGATCCACTGCAGGTCTATATTGGAGACGGAAAGTGCAGCAGCCTTTTCAGCAGGTGGAAGCATTCCCAGACATTTTTCCATGACTTGCGGACAGCAGCGGTCTATTACATCAATAACTGGCTGATCATCTACAGAGCATCCCAAGCTTCTGATCAATGTCTTCACCTCCCGCAAAATATGGACGGACAAACGGCGTGGGTACAGACGACAATTACACAACATAACAAGGGCAAATCCTTCCACAAGATGGAAGACATTTGAGACAGGTTCCATTTTCTGTAAAACAATTATATGTTATGTAGACTACTCTACACTGACACAAACATCTTACAGTTTAAAATGAAAGTTTCAAACACCACACTTACTTACATATTTTCTTCTCTCGGTGTGACAGTAACAATCAATTTAATTTTCTATTTCATAAAAGGCAAGGTAAAAAAATGGAGGTGCAAACAACAGGATGACACCAAAGAGTCCTATTCATCAAACAAGGGAACCACGACATGATAGACACTCAACTTCCTTTACAGAGAGGCAGTATAAAGAACATGAACCAAACTGATTCTAAATTTTAACACAGTGTTTTTAAACCACACTTGTAAATAAACTAATATAATAATTTATAAATATTTTAATATATTCATGCACATCGCTGTAGATGTTAAAGGATCACATTTTATATTCATGACATTGTAATGATATTTGTATGTATGTAATGATATTGACCAATCAAATTGTAATGGTAGTTTCCGCTTGTACTGATATATCCTTCTGAAGATGGTGTCTCAGACCGAAACATGTCAAGGATGAAAGATTAAAACGAGAGAAAGAAAAAAGCTTTAATCAATCAACTGGATAGAGTTGACAGCCTTTTATAATATCATTTCCAAATTCTTAAATATTGTCACTTTTTAAGGATTATTAGCTCTTTCTACATTGTGATTTTGTCAGGAATTCTGTTGATGAGCCAAGAAAACTTACTTAGTCTTTATTGTGTTTACTTCTAGATCAACCTTGTGGGTTCTTATTGGTATTTACGTTTTTACTGCATAAATTATCATTATCAGCAGAGGCCAGAAGTTGGTTACATCCCACTTAATTTCAATTCCTCATGATATTCTTTGACATTCATAATGGAATGTTCTAAAGTGAAGTGGAAAAGAATGGTAAGAATGCAACTTCTATACACATCTCATATGAATATAAAACATTGTAATTAAATTCAAGATGTTACAAAGATATCATGAGGGAATGTACATTGATATAAGTAACTAATACAATAACGAGAATGATATATATATATAATGGACCAGCAAACAAAAATACTATAAAAAGCAAAATCTTTAAATTCCATATAAAATTACAGCAAATTATTACAATGGTATGTACATAAACACGCACAAGAATGCATGCACACACGCACAAAACTTTTATTACTAAAATATGACAAAATTTATACAAGGCCTAAATTATATATGAATTGTGTAATGTTAGGGTTAAATTATAATTTCTCAAAGCACATGCTGTACTGTACTGTACTGTACTGTTTCCATTTATAATGAAAACAACACTGAAATCATGTGTTTAATCACATAATTTAAATTATCTTACCAAAATATAAATATAAAAGAACAAAATAAAACTGACATGACAGTAAATAATTTAAGAATTTGAAAAACAAAATGCAACTGAGAAAGGAAACTTTTACATAAAAATCTCCACTCACTTGTACATGTTCAGTCTTTCTAGCTGCTTGCGTATCTCGATTCCCTCCACGGGCTCCATCAGCTCCTGGTGCATCTTTTGATCCACGTAACGAATTTGGAGTTAAAGCATTCTTCCAGCTCGTAAGTAACTGCAGCAACATACGTAACCCATTGTCCACCAACTGCGGGAATGTATCTTGAACATCTCGAGCAAGAAATTGTGTAAATCCTGAAAAAAAAAATAGCGAAGCTTCACCACAGGTATATAAAACGAAATGTCTAACACATCTCTGGCTTAAAAAAAAACTCTGTATACAGGAAAATTAAGACTAACTGAAGGCCCAACACCTCAATCCATGCATTTTCAAGATGATCCAACCTCATATATGTACCTTCAAGGGTATCTTGATGTCATTTATGAATTTTCAAAAGTTCCACAACTCTATCTCTGGATGTATAACAACACCAACCAAGCAAGTATGACTAATGCTTCAGCTTATTTAACAGGACAGTGTCAACTACTGAAATAATGCAGCATCTCAATCATGGAACAGCAAGATGATCATGAAAGATGAGTACATAAAGAACACGAAGGAGGCAGTCATGACCTATTTCAACGTACTATCCCAGCCACAAGGAGAAATTGAGAGAAATCTTGAGAAAACCTCAGTCATGACATTCAGTAAGACACCTGAGATTCAAACTGTGTACCTCCAAAACCTCATATCTAGAACAGTACTATCAGTACTACAAGTCTTCCAACCACAAATACTCACCTCTGAGTTCAAGAAATTTTTTCATTCTCTCATGATCCAGTGGCATGCTGCACCTTGCATTGTAAATAAAATGCAAAGAAGTAACTACCTTTTTCCTGTGTCATCTCACAATGAAAGGTGATACAACTGTCGACATAGAAAATTCTTTCCATATCAAGGTAACAGTTAAGTAAATTAACAGTAAATGTATGAAGGTATTCACTATGTCTCCTTACATTGGGAGCCGGGATAGCGTAGTCAGTAAAGTGACTGGTTATGGGCTGGACGACTGAGGGGTTGGAGTTCGAGTCCCAGTAGGGTCAAGAACTACCTCTTCTCCATGTCATCCGGACCAATTCTGTGGTTCACCCAACCTCCTATCCAATGGGTACCAGGGACTCCTTCCCCAGGGGGTAAAGCGGCCAGGGCATGAAGATGACCATTCACCTCCAAGTAGTGGCGAGGTCAAGAAAATGTGGGTCTATACAGCCACTCCCTCCAAATGCCTTCATGGTGTAGTGCTTAATTAGTTAAGCACATGGCTAACTTTACCTTTTTTATGTCTTCTTACTTAAAATATGAAGTGATATATTGATGAGCATAGCAAATTCTAAAATGGGAATAGTACAACTATAAATTAAGTAGTCTAAGGATAGTTCAAATATATATACTGCATTACACATTCTGAGTCTCGTAACAAAAATCAAGCTCTATATAAATGGGATAGATAAGAAGTATTGTTTAGAAAGTTCACAGCATAGACTATAACCATGCCATGCCTTTTGTGCACATTCCTGAAGGACCTTTACATTAAGTTCAGAGATTATACGTGGGGCAATCTAAAAGTTTCCGAAATTTGAATTCTGCACGCGAATGGTTATGAGTACATTGAAATACCGCTAGGTGTCTCCTCACACATCCTTCTTGAATCAGTGTGGCAAGCAGCATCAGGTTAAGTGGCTGGGTTTATTGTTGGTGAAAGTATTTCCATTGTTCTGTTTCCGTGAGTTTGCGGTTTTGCGATGGCTGACCTGAGAGAGCAGCGTGTCTGTATAAAGTTTTGTTTCAAACTTGGGAAAACCACTGCAGAAACGCACCAAATGTTGAAGCGAGCTTTTGTTGAAAACAGTTTAGGCCAGACACAAACTTACAACTGGTATAAGCGTTTTAAAAATGGCCGAACATTGCCTGATGATGACGATCATTCAGGACAGCTGTCAACGGGCAAAACACCAGAAAATGTCACGAAAGCTAGGGATCTGATTCTGCAAGATCGTAGACTGACCATCCAAGACTTCTGTAACACCTTGGGACTAAGTTATGGTACATGTCAACGAATTTTGTCAGAGGAACTGAACATGAGGAGGATTGCGGCGAAGTTTGTGCCACGACTGCTTCAAAATGAACAGAAGCAGCATCGCTTGGAAGTCTGCAGGGAACTTCAGCAACAGCTTCAAGAGGATCCAAACTTTCTTTCAAAGGTTGTCACTGGTGATGAAAGTTGGGTTTATGGCTATGGCCCTGACAGCAAGCAGCAATCGTCGCAATGGAACAGCCCTTCTTCACCTCGGCCAAAAAAAGCTCGACAAGTCAAGAGCAACATTTAGTCCACGTTGATCTGTTTTTTGATATTGACGGGATTGTTCATAAGGAGTTCGTCCCTCCTGGTCAGACAGTCAATAAAGAGTTCTATTGCAATGTTCTAAGGCATTTGAGGGAGAACATGAGGAGAAAACATCCAGCGAAGTGACGCACGAATGACTGGGTACTCCACCATGACAACGCACGACCGCATACGGCTTACACTGTGCAGGAATTTTTGGCTAAAAACAAGATGGCAGTTGTTCCCCACCCACCATACTCGCCAGACTTAGCTCCATGCAACTTCTTTCTCTTCCCCAAGATGAAAATCAAGTTGAAGGGGCAAAGATTTGATACAGTTGAGGAAATTCAAGCAGAAACGCAGACGGTACTAAACACCCTAACAAAGAAAGACTTCCAGGATGCATTTGAAAAGTGGCAGAAATGTTGGGATCCGTGTATGCGCTCCCAAGGGGACTGCGTTCAAGGTGATGGCGCAGAATAAGATCTAGGTAAGATGTAATAGTTTTTATTAATATATTTCGGGAACTTTTGGACTGCACCAGGTATTACAAAATCTGCCACTTCATCCAGCCCTAACATAATACTCACCATATATAACATCCTGCCTCCAATCTGGAAAATCCATAACTAATGTTTGTAAGCTCTGATATGCCAACCCTCTTAATTCTTCATCCATGTGAACTGTTAATCTTGCCAAAAGATCGACTAGTTCAGCACCAGTCATCCCATCCGGTATGACTCGAGGAACAGCTGCAACACACGTTCTAAAAAGATCTATGCGTGGCTTTCGTTCACCAGTCAACATTTCATCGGGTTCCTGTAAGGGAACAGAACATGACACCTCTTATCATCATCATGATCATCATATTTTTATAAGCGTGTATCCTTAACCATTCTCCATGAAGAAAAGGTAATTTCAATTACAATTATTATTTTAACAATCACTGATCCCTGCACAACTTGCTACCAAAATACTGCTAAACTCAGCTGGGCAGCATGAGGGCGAATGTCTTAATAATTATTTGGGCCCTCACATGATTCATCAGAAGACTAAACTGAAACTGAATTGTGCAGCATGTTGAGGCCCCATGATGTCTTTATTATCTTTGCTTGTAGATATAAGAAGTTGACTGGGCGACAGTAACACAGTACCACAGTATAGGATCAAATCTTACATCAGATGCAGGCCGTGCCATAGCTAAAGCGGTTAGTCCCCACCATCGGGGGCCGGGTTTGATCCAGGGCCTGGTCAGTGGGATTTGTGGTGGACAAAGTGGCGCTGGGGCAGGTTTTCTCCAAGTATTTCGGTTCACCCTTGTCAATCTTCATTCCACCAAATTCTCCATCACCCGGGGCAAGTACAATAGGCCATTCAGTGGCTGACATGGCGAGCGGACCCAGCTGGACNCCCCCCCCCCCACTATGCAAATACATCAGATGCGGGCACAACATGGTCCCAATTCAAGACCCTTAATACTGAAAAGCTCAACAGAGCCTTTTAAAGAGCATCATAATTCACCAGAATTGTTATTATCACTGTTGTTGTTGTTGTTAGTTAAGTGTTTTTTCAGGTTCTATTTTTTTAAAAGCAGACATGTTCCTTGGACTATCCAGTGCTTACCTGTAACTGGCTTTATTATTAACTTAAATATATAAACTGAACTGAATTATTATTACAAAGAAACACGTGGTAGTGTAGTTCAATGAGGCATTATGCTATAAGCTGGAAGGTCGTGGATTCAAGTCCTGATTAGGTGGATATTTTTTAATTTACCTAATCTTTCCAGCCGCACTATGGCCTTGGTGTCGACTCAGCCTCTAGCAGAAGAGTACCAGGAATCTTCCTGGGGGGTAAAGAACGGCCAGCATGTAAGGCTGACAACCTCAACCTCATCTGTGAGTTGACTGTCTAGAGAAAATATGGGAGCCTCGACATCTCACAACCCCATGGGCCTTCACGGCCTGTTTACAGGCTTTACCTTACGCCTATTTAAGGTTTCTTTGGGGAGCAGTGGATCTGAACACTAAATTGAAGAATAACTTAAATGGAGGAAATTTAGCACTGAAATAATGGACCTGGAATCACCAAAATATAGCATTAAATGAGAAGAACCATAAATAGAGGAGCACTAATTGAGGCTTCAACTGTAATAAATATATGAAGTCATATGTCATGCTAACCTTATTAACATTCTGTGTACTGGTCATCATAAGTGGGCGCCCATAGTGCATATCCAATGCTCTGAGGATATCTACAAACACCCGTCTGACATGAGGAAAGTAGGATGACATCCCAATACTGCGAGCTGTGTCTTCAGTCAACATCTAGTTAAATAAGAGAACAAAATTAACAGTTCTTATTCAGAAGATCAAAAGGGTGGCAGTATTAAAGCAACACCACAGAAGCCAATAATACTTTCAATTCATAGTTTGTCAGCCACCTCTGGAATATGGTAGAGATATCAAAGCTGCTAGTGATACACCACAAAGACATCAGCCTGAAGAGCATTATAATCAGTAAGATGGAAAGAGCAAAAACTCAGAACAAAACTTAAATTACTTCCATGGGTATTGAAATATGTCATATACTTCATAATGATTCATGATGAATGGTGGGTGAGAAATGAAATGTATCATAATTCTGAATCCAAAAGAATCACCAAAATAATGCGCAACTTAAACAAGATTTTGCTTTATGCTTTTTCATTCTAAAGTGAAGGAGTGAACTGCTGGACTTGTCAAATAAGCAGATTAAAAATTATGATGGCAAAACATACCTTGTTTAAGAATGTTTTCTTAACTCGGAGGGTGTTGCCTGAAGGAAGGACCCCCATTGTACGAGGCATGGGTGGCTCGCCTTCCTTCTGTTGCAAACTGTCCGCCACTACGAGGAATGCTCGAAGTCCAATGCTCATTCTCTCGGGCGTGAGAATGATCTTAATGGGCCGCCCAACTGACAGCAAGTCAAACACTATTTCACGCATTGCAAAATCCAAACGTTCCTGTTACAGAGAGTAAATGACATTGATATGTCTTCTACAATAATATCTAAGCTTGACTGTAAGTCAGAATGTTCATATTCATTATGTGGCAGGAACTTGAATGCCTAATGCATAATTTCAAAGTTATGAATGTGGTTCCGCTTGAACTATGCTAATAACTTTCACAGTTATTCTTTTATTTGGCGTTTCACATGCTTATTCCTACTGTTACAAAATATCAAAGCTCAAAAACGACAGTATTATTGTATGGATACAATGCCTAGGTTATAACCACTATACAAAAAGAACTTGTCATTTAAAAAAGTCAACTAATTTACGCCTCCTGAGCTTATGATTATGGAAGTATTACCAGATATCTGAAATTATATGGCATGTAATCAGGAACAATAATTATAGAATGAAGATAAATATGAAGAACACAAAACAGTAAAGAGCAGTAAAAAGAAAATGCCAATACCATTCATTCTGTACTTCACCCAGTTCATGCACATGAACAAACTTGTACCTGAGCGATGAACTGTATGATTTTGACAAATATATTGAGTGGAGTGTCTCTTGGAACGACAGCCTTAGAGCCCTTTGGGAACAAGGAGTTGACAATGCTCTGTAAACGTGACTGAGTTGCAGAATTACTTTCACACTTTATTCGAATCATGTACACCCACAGCAAGCGGTATAGTGATTCTGTAAAAACAGAAACATTTGTATAAGAATCAGGATAAGCAACCGTCAAGTGTAGACTCATACCATTATAATACCAACCTAGAGCAACCCGACACATCTTGGGATCTCTGTTCTTGAGATGTGAGAGACACATTGCCAGGAAGTAATGCCAGTTCTGCAGGAAGAATATCTTCTGACTGACACACAGAAGACAAGTCACTAGAGGAAACAGAGCAAGTCTGTGTTTCGACTTAGTGCACATATCAAGAGTCTGTGAATATAACATCTCTACAAAGTTCTTCAGACATGGAACATTCACTTCATTTTTCACAGTCTGTAAAAGAAAAATAAATGCAATACTTAAAGCTTTTCCTTTACTATTTCCATTAACGATAAAAGTTTAACATGTAAAGGCTGTTTCACAAAGCTCAGTCTCCACGCATACTATTTTGAAGCCCAATGCCATCTGCTCTTCCGCTCTCCCCTTACCTCCATCTCTCAATCCCCCTGCCAATGTTAATAACTCACTTCACCCACTAACTAACTCTACAGAGTTGTGTCCTTGACATAGTGACAGTTGCTCAGCTGATCAAGAAATTCCCTGCCTTTTACTGCACCTTAAGACATACTACACCATGTTCACAATAGACAGCTTCCCTGGACTATCATCAGCCAGCTGAATCCAATTTACTCCCTTATATTCTATCTTTTTAAGACCCATTTAAATATTACCTTCATATTCACGTCTAGGTTCCCTAAATGATCCCTTCCCTTGCGATTTAAAGATTGAAGTGTTGCATTCATTCTACTCTACACCATATCTAAACTTTCAAAACAATCAAACTGATTCTTACAAATCAACCTACCCAATTACAGAATACACTCTTAATCATCTCAGCATGTATACACCAATTTTTCTTCCAAACACATCTGAACAATACTCACATTCACTAATATTCACATATGGACAGCCTGTCAAATTTGGATAATTACTATAAATTTTCATCACATGAGCAATTTACTTAAAATGGTTTAAAAAACTTACTTTCCTTCACCTATTGGATGATTCTCATCATCTCGATATTATTTAACAAGACTATTACAACATACTCTCTCAATAATAACAGGTACAAAAACTGAGATTAGCATCACAAATTTCTGAATACTGTAGAACAGGCCATAAAAATCTGGACTGATTGAAAGAAACTAAAATTGAGGCTACTTACAGCTGCAACAGGGACTAGAATTTCAACAAACAGACCAGCCAGAGCATGTTTCACATCCTTATCCTTGACTTCAAGGAAGTACTGGGCACACTCTTGCATAAATTGAAATGATGCTTCAAATTCTTCAATAGGTACCATCTACAAAATCAATATAAAATTATATGAAATGAAAATTCCTCACATTCATCAGAAGTAATGCTTTCTCACAGACAAAAGTCTGGGATGTATAAATGCAGCAGGATGAGGTCTTGAAATTCTAGACATCAATTATATGCTTAAGGTATAAACTTGATATGTACACAGTAAATGCATAAGATATGTGGATAATGAAAGTGATACATGCAGAGTGAATGTCATAAAACTTGAGATACCTTCAGCATGAATGTTCAGGCATATTCAATGTACACATGTACTTATTACATTCTACATTCTGGTTGACTGCTTAGAGAAGTGGTTCTCAACCTCTGTCAGACCGTGACCCAGTAAATTCATTTTTCCATAAGATGAGGGCCCAGCATAATTGATTCCAGGGCCAAGTGTTGGGCCATGGGCTGGTGGTTGAGAAACACTGGCTTAGAGTAACTGAGTACTGTGTCAGTGTAAATCACTTGCAAAGATTAAGAAAAAATCTTAAATATTGTAATGTGTTTTGCTACTGAAGATGCAGTTCAGATTGTTAATTGGTTTATTTAACAACCTACAAGTCGTAACTACAAATACTTATATCACTGTTGCGGGTTTAGACAATTTACAAACCCCACACAACAATCTCTTCAGTAGTCTTCACGTATCTATAATGCTGGAGCTAGACAAGTGTCACTGAATTACACACTCCCAATACCTTCTCAGTTATCACTGAGTATCACACATAAACTCTTCTGATCACGTTTTCAGTTCTTCTTCCACGGCTGCTATACTTACACTGAACTTATAACGTCTTCTTCATGTTCACAATTCACTTGCTACAACTAAGCTAGGCAACTGCTAGACTTCAACTGCCTTCGGCGGCTGCTACATTTTAACTCTCTCCTTATGCATTCCAGTCTCCCTTATAAACCCTCAGTCAGACAGCAGAAAACCCACATCGCTTCACTGTTGCGTAAATGCCGTCTTTACAGGTGTTGCTGGGGAACGCTACCAAGAGTTGTTTATTGCTGTGTAGTAACCGCGGTGTCCCCTGTTATGTCACTGTGGGAAGTGCTGTTACGTCACCATGGGGAGTGGATGTTTACTGAGCGTTGCATAATGATGGAAGGAGTGGGGGTGACATCACTCACGAGACCACAGAGTTCACGTGACCCCTACTTCCTGTTGCACCATCCATGTCACACTGCTCCCTTCTAAAGGTTGTCCCGAACAACCTAACAGTACATCCCTGTTCTTTTCCTTTTCTCTGGGGTTCATCTTCGGGGCACTACTTCCGCTCCCCTTCTTCTAAGGTGTTCATCCCAAGCAATTCCATGGTCCAGCGTTCGGCGATCCGTTGTTTCACATTCACTCATCACTTTCATTCTTCATTCATGGCTGGGAGGCCAGTGTTTCTGCATTACTGGATCCTCCTATGCTTGCAGTCTCCTTTTGTTTCAATTTGGAGGGGGCCTACCCCTCCACAAGGTCCATTTCCTCGTTTTCAGTAACCCACTGGAAGTTCCAACTTCTCGCTTCACGATTTCCAGCCCTATGGCCTTCCTGTAGCTCCCACTGGTTGTCCTTTCGCTTCCAAGCCATAGTTGCTCCTCAAAGTCTCAGTTCCTGGTCAGGTCAGTGCCTTCCTGGTGCATCTGTTGACTCCTTCCATACGTCCATCCTTTCCAGGTTCCTTGTACCACATTGTCCCTGGCATGAACTTTCCCGACGGCATTATCCTTGCACCACGCCACTCCTGCATGGTGGGTCATCCTAGTTCTAGAAGGGACCAGTTCTCTCCATGGGCGACACTTTTCCTGGATAATGTACGACTTTACGATGTCTCTTCTTCATCGTGCTACTGCTGCACGATGGGACATCTTCCAGTCTATTGGCATTTTCCGTGCCACTAATAATGTCTTATAACTTATAATACAGCAGGTCTCTTAACAATACACTCAACAGCACTGTCCAGTCATTAAATCTGATATGCAAGTATATATGATGTCCTGTAAGATGCCATCAGTTAACACTCAAGAGTTTATATGTCAGTATTTTAAGTAACTGTGTGTGGGTAGGCAAAGGTGAGCCTCAACAATACAATACAAGACACAAGTTCCACAAGAGTCTGCCACTATTATCACTGTTTGCAACAGCCATAAATGGTACAGCTCAGAATGTCAGTTGGTTGATAACAACATCTCTCTTTAACTAGATGACGGTTATTTATTACAGCTGGTGTGACATGCACATTCTTGAAAAAAGTTCCAATGGCAGGTATCTCATGGTTCTTTTTTGATGGTTTCCAATGCCACACTTTGACAATTATGTCATTTGTGCTTTTTAATCTCAACTGGATGGCATATTTAACTCATTTTCTATTCTGACACCACTTGGACAAGTTATGTCATGCAGCTGTGCAGCACACTTCAGTGATTTCTCTTGTCAGCCAGAAGTATTGATAATCATACGACTTCAGTGGCATCTAGGGGTGGAGTAGAGAACTCTGCGGGTGACCAAAGATGGCATCTAATTTTGCCTTCACTCATCTAGCATGTGTGAAAGGTTCTTTTACATGTTGTAAATGTATGACATGGTATCCATGGCTTTACTTCCCTTCCAAAAGAAGTTATGCTATGGATTTTTCTTTCCCTTAAAAATCTATTGACCTTGGTTGGGCTTGAACCCCCAAACCTAGGGTCCAATGGCGAACACATTAGCATGAGGCAGACTTGGCACATATCAGAGTGTGTGGGGGAAAAATGATCAAATTTTCTGCATCTAAAATCATACATGTTCATTTCTTGTCATTAAGAATTCATGCACACCCTGACTTGCTACATCACAATGTCCTAAGTCTGCAGATACTGTAAAATTTCTTCTGAGTACTGCTTGACAGTGATTTTCACAAGCTAGTCTACTGAAAAGTGAAAGATTTTACAAATTTTATCACATATCTCTTCATTACTTGAAACTTAATTCATTTGTTTATGTCCATTTGTATGGATGTGATCCTTGGTCACTCTCACCCTAAATGATGAACATAAATTGAGGGTAGAAGAACTAAATAATTTTCAATATGTTCTGGCCACAGCGCCACTCAAATTCCCACAGTACATTGCACAATGTTCTTCGTTAAGCAAACCTACCTTTACTCGGAAAAACTTCATACCCATGAGAAGTGATATGATGCTCTGTGTTGTGTTTGGACTTGGTTCCTTGCCCTTCAGTTCTTTCAGCTCGGCCATGAATCTCTTGCGAACAGACATAAATCGGGACTGGGCGAGAGTTCCAATAACTTCTGCATATAAGTCAGCTATAATATGTATGTTTGCTGCATTTGGTCCACTCTGAATTCTAAAAAGTTCCATTAAATTTTAAATAACTCAAAATTATCATCTAAGTTTACAAAGATAAAACTACTGATGTCAGGACAGGAAGAAGAATATACAAGGCCACTACCTTACACTACACCATTCATTCATTCATTTACATTCCATGGATCCTTATACAGCGGGAAGACCAGTGGATATAGAAATAGTCAAAGACAACATGACAAATCCCAATATTATATTTAAGCATCCTGTTGCCCTCAACATAATATATGACACAAACTCCATCCTAAGTGCAACAATTTATTGTAGTTCTATCATCTTCCTTTCTTCTACACTACATGTTTCAGCCGTAAATGGCCATCATCAGATGTGTATACTCTCACGTAGCTGCTACACTGCACATACTTTAAAATTTAAAAAACACCAGTCTTCCCAATTGTTCACTTCTCCGTTGCTATCTGTTAGATATCAGTAGGGAGGATTCTGATATATCGAAACCTGTTAACAATGGAGAAGTGAACAATTGGGAAGACTGGTGTCTTTTTAAATTTTAAACTACGTGCAGTGTAGCAGCTATGTGAGAATATACACCTGATGGCCACTTCTGGCCGAAACATGTAGTGTAGAAGAAAGGAAAACGAAAGAACTATAATAAATTGTTGCACTTAGGACGGAGTTTGTGTCATATATTACGACAAATCCCATCAATTATATAAATAAATATTAATTATACTTAATTCATAATTATTACACATATTATCCGAGATAAATCACAATTAGTAACTCATTAAAACAGTTATAAAATATATATGTAAAAGAATGCAACATACTAATATGACACAAGACTACAATAATAAAAAATAAAATATACTATTAGGCATCCAGCATATAACACACTATTTATGCCCTATTACCAGAAAGCTAGTCTCAATAAAGGCCGCCCCATAGCTCAAGCGGTTAGTTACTGGCTTCCCACCACGGCGGCCCAGGTTCAATCCTAGGTCTGGTCAAGTGGGATTTATGGTGGACAAAGTGGCACTGGAGCAGGTTTTCTCCAAGTACTTCGGTTCCCCTGCCAATCTTCATTCCACCAATTGCTCCACAATCACCCTCACTTATCATCTGGGGCTGGTACAATAGGCCAGAAGTGGCCGCAGTACAAGGTACTTAGTCCCACCCTACTAGCAATAGTCTCAATAACAAATTTAATTGCCATTCACTTTTACATACTGGTGATGCTTTGACACACTGAAGGTTACAGGAACTCATACAATGTTGAAAAATACACATAGAATCTGTTAAACATAGGGTGGGGCTGACAATATCAGCGGAACCTCCATTAAAGATTTCCTCAGTTTAGTGTCTGATTCCAGTTTTACCAGAAGTCACGTTAAATGTGTGACTTTACACATAAATGAGCAGAAGTATCACTCCCCAACCAAGATATGGTTGCTTTTCTTCTCAATATTACAGTATGTATCAGACAAAACTTTAAAAAAGGGCAACACTCTTCCTCAGACATTACTCCATGGCTGTGAATATCTTTTCCAGATTGGCAATGCCAAAATGGAACACTTATGCAATGCTACTACCCAACATGTTAAAACATACAAATGAAAATCAAAACTGCAATCAAATTATAACAGAAATCAGTAAAGCTGTCAATCTAATGGGTGCACCTACCCTTCTCTGTATTTAAAATGCTTGAATGCCAGGTTTTCTACGTAGGTAACGAGATCATCTTGTCCAGGATGAAAAGACAACTGACGTAAAATTTCTATCAAGACAAGGCAGAAGATGAATTCCACTGCTAAATCCCGTCGTTCCTGAAGAGTATCTGCTTCACTGCGTTCCACATTTTCTGTGCTAGAAAACAAGATAGCTCACTTAAAAATAAATAGATATCCAGAATAAAAATCAGAAGAGCTAACCACTCAACTGGTATGTTCAGAAATGCATGTGAAATACCTCACCTATTATTAAAGCATTAAGACATAAGCTGCAATCACAAGTTAAGGCTATGTGGACCTAACAGACAAGTAACAGGAGGCTAAAGAGAGTTGCATATTGAGGAGCTTCATAATTTATACTCTTCATTAACTATTATTAGGGCTATCAAATGAAGGATGATGAGATTGGCAGGGCATGTAGCAAATATGGGGGAGATGACAAATGCAAATGGAAAAACTGTCAGAATGCCTGAAGGAAACAGACCACAGAGGGAAGAATAATATTAAAATGTATCTCAACAAAACAGTGACATAGTGAGGACTGCATTCACTAGATTCATCTGGCTCAGGCTCAATTCTAGTGATGGTCTCTTGAAAACAAAATGAACCATCAGGTTCCCTAAGACACGATGAATTTCTCAATCAGCAGAGCAACTACTAGGTTCTCAGAGGCTCTATTCTGTAGAATTGATCATAAAGGTTTAGGGTGATAATCGTTTTTAAAATGTATCACCTTTTTCCTTTCAAATCAACTTTCTTCTGTTCAGTGGTACCTCCATCCACCATCTGCCTTTCATACCATGCAAATAATGCACGAAGGATGGACGGCAGACAGTGTTCAGCTACTGAGCCAAACGAGCTTAACAGCTGATCAAACTGCGGATCTTCTCCCCTCTGCAGAACTTTTGACAATGGCCTCTCCTACAGGACAAGAAATCAGCATACAGATACAAAGAATGTTATTTATTTATTTATTTTCCTGTAGTGTATTTAATGACACTGTCAGTAATATTGAATGACAGGATGAGAGTGAATACTAAATTAGAAAGGATGTGAAAGGAAGTTGTCGTGGCCTAATTTAAGTTGTTATTTTAGCATCTGCATACAGCGACTAAGAAGACCAATGATAAATCACAGTCAGGACCATCATGTGCCACTTGAGATTGAAACCTGTCACCTCTCCTGCAAAATGCAGATCCATTACTGCTTGTGTTGACTTGCTGAGTATGAGTACTACTACATATTGTACACAGTGTTGATTGAGTACACATTAGAGTGCATAAATAAAGCAGGAACTTAGGGTATGATTTTTACTGCATGAAATATAACAGTTATGGAACACTTTTAAGCCCACTCAAACCATAAACATGGACTCGATATTTTTAAACATTCAATTAGAAACTCAAACTGGCAGTGCTTATTGGCCAGTGTCTTATAAAAGTATAAGAACATGAATTAATTACATTCAGATGACCTCAGTTCCTATCTGATGAAAGCAAAACAATATTACTGGTACATATCATGGTGATACAACAATGACAAGCTAGATATAACCTTACCAAGAAAAAGCACGTGACGGAAATTTATGTACCACACAATCTATGAAAAACAGCACATAAAAAATTTGGCTAACTATACATCTGTAAAAGAAGAAACGAAACAAATGTCATAAATTGTCAAGAGTACATAAAGTTCCGATACGTCTTTCACTGAAACCATCTTAAATAATCTCAAACATCCAAGCTACCAAAAGATCACCTACATTGAGCTTCAAAACTCAGCAATAAGACACACAGCATCCACAGCCCATAATTGTGAATAACAATATCACGTTTCATTGAAGAAACTTACAGTTCATGCAGAATTGGTTCAAAATACTTTATACATAATTATCATACACATATACTACCACAGTCAATAAGTTCGAGGAATGGCCGCAAAGCATCGTATGGGAATTTACTGCCAATATGTTTCAACAATGGTTTCGACAGCTATATCAAGGTTGGCAGACTTGCATAGGGACCAACAGCAACGATTCTGAGGGTCGATGTGGATCTGCGTAAATGTATGTGAATACCTTGTAATATGAAATGATAAAACCACATTCCACGAACTTAATGACTCTACCACATATATATATATTATAAATATTTGTCATTAAACACTTAGTACATTCCATATGCATCTACTGAACCAGATGACAATGACAATTTACCCAACTACATACCTATGCATAAATATCCTTCACTGCTGACATATCTACATTGGGTTACGCAATACAGAATCAAGTTTAGTGTTAGGTCAGGTATATGGGAAAGTTTAGGTTATGTTACCAGTACCACCTTTCCTGTTAATATTAGGTTGTTACAGTTACTGTTGCCATTATTTCAAGACAAAATCAATGTAGATTTGGTACCAGAGGTTCAGCCATCAGAGCTTCCATTTTCTTTTCTGCCTGTACAGTGAAGTCAGCAAACAGAGTACGCATAACAAACTCTCCAGGTCTGATATCCATGTCTATGTGGATACAGGCTGGATATGGGTACCGTTCTTTGTGAGCACCCCAAGGTAACACTGTGCCAGTTGCACTCCCAGACTTCACGCTGTCACTTCCTGCAACAGTTTAGAACACAACACATCTATTTCATGTCAAAGAGAACTGGATACAAACTCTGTCACTGAAAGCCACAGAGAAAAAAAAATGTATAAACTTTCTAACATCCATTTTAACATCAAGAACTCTTAAATGCTACACTTTAACTTTCTGCAATACCTCACTTATGCAATTTAATTGCATCTTTATTTTGCATACGTGAGATAAATTCAATTAATAGAATTAGAGCTACTATGTAAAAGAACTGCAACTTCCTTTAAAAAAATGTTTGTACAGTCAACTCTCGATTATCCGGGGGCGGGTTAACCGGGGCTACTGAGGCTTTTTTGAGGCTTATATGTTGTTTAATATTCATTCACTTTTGTTTCACATGGTGAGTTGTAACACTATTTTCGCACCAGTGTGAAGCGAGCTCTGCATTCTTTGGTCCCGTTATGCTAACACAATGTTCTAGGGTAGGGGTGAAAGAATGCAAGGATTTGTGGAAAGTTTCAAGGACAGATACACCGCCCCAGTTAGCCTCTTTGTATCGATCTTCAAGTGCGTTAGCAAAATGTCAGGGTGTAAAAAAATCGTAAGTTCAGTCGAGGTGCAGCCAGAAGAGCGGGAAGAAAGTGAGAATGAGGAAGAGGTGGACAGTGCTGCTCTTAATCATTTGGAATCCATACTAGACTATCTTGAGAGTGGAGAGAACAGTTTATTAAGTGACAAGCTAATATTACGTAGGCTTCGTACGGATATCCGTAAAAAGGAAAATGCCGCGAAAAAGCAAACGACAATATTAATTTTTTTAAGTGTTAAGTGTGAATATTCGTAAAAAGTGTTGGATGTTGTTGAACAATGTGATTGAAATGACTAATTCACACTTCAGTATAATGTAAAAAAAAAGTATTAAATACGCCATGAAATGACATAAAAATGAGGTTGAGTAAATTTAAATACAGGTAGGTCTATAGTATTATGAAGGTACAGTATTACAGTACTACTTTTAACAACATTTGTCTTAACCGGGTTTTCGATTAATCGTGATTTCCATGCCCACCATTATCCCGGATAATCGAGAGTTGACTGTATTCTTAATGTTTAAATTCGCATTCACTGAGGTATATATCTCAAATACATGCATTTACAAACATGAAATAAAAAATGAGTAAATTCACTTAACCATCTAGATGCTATAAGGAAACACATACACACACTCACACAATATTAAAAAGGATACTTCTTCAAACATAGGACCACCTGAAATGTACCTATCCCTTAACCATTATCATCCAGGATTAGGGAATTGAAAGCTCTCACTGCAAGGCACTAGCAGCTGAACTCATACTTGAGGGCAAGAGTACTTATATTTAAAATTATGCAATGCTGGGCTAGCTGGTGGCTGCTAAACCCACACATGCATCACAGTGGCGCAACACACAGATGACAGAGGTTAATACCTGGTGCTCAACTGTTTCAGCTGTAACACTTTACTTATTTTATACAAAAAAAATGCATAAAATGAGTAAGAAGAAGAGAGAATATGAAGAATTTCATTTTGCCAACAGCAAAAGACTATTAGTATGATTTACATCCACCTATAAAATGATGTAGGAAAACAATAGCAACATTTAAATTATAACTTGGAACTTACATCCCATGGTTGCAGATAAAGAGAACAAGCAAAGATCCAAAAACTTATGACGCTGACTATCAATGGAGGTAATACAAACTGATATATAGGTATCCAACTCAGAAATGGATTCTATGCCCTTGCCTAGCCCAAGACACTAGAAACCAACCAACATTTATAATACTGATACACTCTTTCATCAAATTTAAAATTCCCCTTCTGACCTGTAATGCCTCATTATTAAAAACACAGGAATAATTTTAAGGTAAAAGTAAATTTGCCCCTGTGCTTAATTAATCAAGACCTATGTCATGAAGACATATGGAGAGGTAGAGGTATAGCTCCGCCATTCTTCACCTTGGCACTAGATAGATTATGAGTGGTCAATTTCATGCCCCAGCTGCTTTACCCCTGGGAAAACACCCACAGTACCCACTGGGTAGGTGGCTGAATAATTTTAAGAAACTTCTCAATACAAAATGGAGAATGTTAGCTGAGACTTCAAGAAGAGGTAACAGAACTCTATTTTAAGAATAAAATGTATTTTCCATGTTTTACAATATAAAAAAGAGTGGATGCGAGTTTTTGGCATTACATCAAATAATATCAGAATTAAGAATTAATCAGTACTTTTGAAGCTGTGAAGAAATTATAAATTATCGAACAAACCTCTGCATCAGTCTCATTTCAAGAAATCATTTTGTTAATATTTATCACCTGATGCAGCAGAGGAGGATGCTGTTGTATCAATATCAGAGCCTGTCGCTCTGATCGCTTCCGCAACTTGTCCCGTTGAATTGCGGTCAGCAGCATCCAACAGTGCACCAGGATTGAGTTCATGAGGCACCGAATCAATGTCAGGGGTCATTCCAGTAGCAGAAGGTCCACTCTCAAAAGCTTCTGCAAAGTTTAAGATTATCATGTACACATATAACATGCAGTTCTTTTGATGTAACTTATGAATAAATCTGAACTCAGATCCTTATGGTCAAATAAATCTCTTCCTCGACTGTTTTTTTTCTCAATCCACATTGCTGGCCTCATATTCTATTATGCATCTTTTAAAATGCAATCCATTTTCTTATATTATATTGGCAAAATCTGTTAAAAAAAACATGTTAAGTCCTTAAAAAATAGAATATAAAACACTTTTACAATAAGTGTTGGAAATGGTATCATCTCTTCTCTCTGCAATGTTGTACCACAAGATATTATATTCTGCACATTTTGCAGTGTACCTTCTTCGATGTTTCCAAGCACAGTTTCATTGTTTAGTTTCAGCTGACTGACTGTTCTTGGATTGTTTTAAAACACACAGCTTTTCAGAAAACCCCACAGGTAAAAAACCAAGGACATAAAATCTCGTGATCTTGGAGGGCAAAGTCCTTTAGAAATTATTCTGGAACCAAAGAAAAAAACTCTTCCAGCACTTCCATGGTTACATGTGCAGTGCAGCTATGTGGGCTCCATCTTGTTGGAACCAACAGTCCCTTTTGTCGTTTCTTAGTAAGGCAACAAACTGCATCACAATATCAATGAACTTATCCTATTATAATTGTTTAAAAAAAAATATAGGTTCAACAATTCTTCTGCATGACACTACACACCTGATTCCTACTTTCTGAGCATGTAACAGAGTTTCACAGTATTCATGGGGGTTCTCTACACAACACTCCCTATAGTCTTGTCAACTAATATAGCCATTAAGATGAAACTGGACTGCGTCTGAGTAAAATACATTATCTAGGACTGTGTTGTTCTCATGTATGTTATCCTAGAACCAATGACAATACTGCATTTAGTAGACAAAGTCCGTAGGGTACAATTCTTTCACAAAGTGAATATGGTATGGAGCATAGTTTTTCTTTTGTTTCTTTATGAGCAGATTTCAGAAAGACATTTCTTTTTGTTGTGAAAGTTACTTGAAGATTTGCATGATGACTACAGCAGACTTTGCCAGACATCTAAGTGCTCATTGGTTAGAACTGTGCTCCAGCAAGCATGATGGCAATTAAATGCACTATCGTTATCTTCAACGGACAACCTCTGTGGTCTAGTGGACAGTGATCGTGGCTACAGATCCAGAGGTCCGGGTTCGATTCCCAGCACCATCACATTTTTTCTGAGAAGTAGTTGGTCTGGAACAGGGTCCACTCAGCCTCGTATGATAACTGAGGAGCTATTTCAAGGAAATAATGGCTCACAATTTCAATGCAAATATTTTCTCAAGACTAAGGGACTCCAAACAGAGTCTAACACACAGAACACATACAAGAAGGTTAAGGATAAATGCAATGCTCTCCACATCAAGCCAGTAAATTCAAAGGACAATGCAGAAACAAGAAACTATGAGCTATTTTTCTTACCGCCAATATTATCACTTCCGATGACACCAGTGCCTGTTGTTTCTTGGCTTGCTGTAAGAAAAAAGAAGAGGCAGTGTAAGCATAATACTATAAAGTTTGCATAAAAATACATTACAATGATTTCAATGTATATGACACTTTGTTAGAGTTACCACACCTACAGTTCTGAGGTCTGACTGAAGAATCAGGACCAAAAGTCACAGTGGAGCCAAATTCCTGTCTCCATTTCTTGACACCCACCAATTTAGCAAATATCCAGTAGGTTTCTCTCCTCAGAAGTTAAGGAACTAGGATGTGAAGCTGAAAATTTCCGCCAAGGTAAAGAATGGAGGGTCTATACCTCCATTTCCTTGTATGTCTCCATGGTGTTGTGTTTAATTAATTAAGCGCTGGGACAACTCTACCATTTTTTACCTTTCCCAGAATGGTTGGTTCATGTAGGTCTCAATGTTAGGTATTTTAATGCAGGTGTGCAAACAGTGTCTCCCATGCATATACACATATAGAACATCTACTGCTCTGGAACCAAGAGATCCACATTTGCTAGAAGCAGGACTGTAAAGGCATCTGAAACCAATACTGAAGCTTCCTGTTTACAACAGCAGTGTCTCATTTTGTGATACTTTTTATATTTTATGTCTAATTTATTTCTAAATGTCATTATGTGATTTTTGTGTTTTTTTTAAGGAACAGGTAACTTAGTTAAGCTTTCGTGAAGTGTTAAGAGCAGCCGAAGTTCCCTGACCCCCGATTTCCCAAACATTCTCAGTCCTGTCAACCAGCTTTTGCCATCACAGTGTTTTTCAGGAATGTATCTTCTGCCTATGGCAAAGGACTGCTCTTCATATTCTTATGTCCATCGGCTTCTGTACTGCTTCTGGTCAGCACGTTCATTATGTGTGAAAATACAAGACTGCTACACTCTAAAGGTACTGCCAACCTTTCATAAATTGTTCTGTTATACCAACAGTTGTATTATTCATGTTAAATTGCTTGCTATCCAGAATATTCACCAATAACTGTCAATGAAAATGAGATGTCACCAGTCTCACAATTCTTTTCTGCTGTAACAGTTAACTTTCAACTGTGATATTATCTCCCTTTTCATATGCTGTCAAATATGTTGTCCTTTCTGAAAATCTTCATGTGCTCAGTTTCTCTGTATGTACCCGTCTATTAACTATCAAGGGTCATCTGTTTTATAAGATAAAAACTAGAAGAAAATCCGTGGCTTTTAGTCCACAAGCGAACTATACTGACGAAGCGACTGCCGCTGGTAGTGCCAGGAATCGAACCCGGCACCTCTGGATCTGTAGCCAGGAACTCTGACCACTAGACCACGGAGGAGGTCTCTTTTATAACACCAAGCCAAATCAAAAGGAAGAAAGTAATTTGATTTGTCTCATTCTGGTCCGTCACACTATCAATTACAAAGTAGATAACTTTCAGTCCAGTAAACCTGTATGTCACACTGGAGTGAAAGTTATCTACTTTGAGGAAGAAAGTACTTTATAAGTTCATAAATCATTAATGAAATGCAAATTGCTGCTGACTGCTTGGATTAATTCAAGCAGAGTTAATTACAGTTTTTAACTACAATATCAACTTCATCAGAAGTAGATTCTGGGACATTTTCATTGCAATCAGTGAAAACTTACATTCTGCCATGTCCTCCTTCACCACCTCTTCCCCTTCTAGCAGCATCCCGCTGAGGTGACACTAGTACTGAACTGAGCAAACAATCATCACATTGCTGGTATCTGAAAAATCAACAGCCTGCTTGTAGAAATCGGTACACCAAATGCCTTAATGAACATGACAAAGTCACCACAGCTTTGAATACAATTTTCTCCTAACAGGTCAAACTGTAGTATTAGTAGTTCCCTAAGCTACTTTACTGGCATGCCATCCTTCCCTCCTATTACTCTCAAATGACGCCGCTGTTCCCATTCCTGTCTGATCATGCAGTTCACAACGCATAAATGCATCCCGCTGAGAGAGAATTCCTGGTCCTGTGCATTAAGATGCTTGGGAGAGTACTCGTAAGTACCATGTATATTCAGGGATGGATGAAAATAACCACTTATATCCCAACGTTTTATATGGCAGAAAACCAATACTCCTGAAATGAATATCTGCCATAATATCAACATTTATGCACAGTAATAAATGTTATGTTGGTTACGTTAATTTTGGTTTATATTACTTTTTGTATATAAATATATACTTACATATATTTCCTACACTGTTCGTATGATTCTCAAGTAACTCAAAATTTGTGTAACATCAGAAACACATTTTAAGTACATGAGTTTTATTTACAATTTTAGTACTGTGCCCTCCATGGCATTTTCTGTATGAAAAAAAAATATATATATAATTCCATTAACATAATCAGTATAGCGACTGGTTACTGGCTGGATGACCAAACGGTCGGAGTTCAAATCCTGGTAGGATCAAGAATTTTCTTCTCTCCACATCGTCCAGATAGGCTCTGGGGCCCACACAGCCTCCTACCAAATGGGTACCAGGGACACTTTCTGCAGGGTAAAGTGGCAGGGGTATGAAGCTGACCACTCACCTCAAACTAGTGCTGAGGTGAAGAAAATGTGGATCTATACATCCACTCCACCATATGCCTCCATGGCATAGTGCTTAATTAGTTAAGCATGGGGACAACTTTACCTTTTACTCTCACTCGTGTTTCGTGCAGGAAGCCATGTCGCCCCCCCCCCAACTCCTTCAGTATGTGTTTCTTGGAGGACAAAATACTTCAGTCTGCATATAATCAATATTTGCCCAATGTGAAACAAAACTGAAGACTTCACCATAGGTTACACACAATGTCCCACACTACCAATAAATGCTGAGAACATTTTAAACTAAAATTCTTCAGCAAATTTGGCATATGGATCCACACATGTGACCTGCAGAAATTGAGAATAATGGGAAGGAAACCTTTACCACCAAACCAGTCAAATGAAAATCATGCTTAAAAAGCAAACAAGCTTTAATTACAGTATCTGCAGCCAATTCCTCTATACCACTTTACCAGTTTCCCCTCCTGTCCATTAGAATAAGCAGTTTAACATACCTCATGAGAATACTATGTATGCAAGGGAGGTTATTTCTGACTGGATGCTATGAATTTATGCAAAGTTCACTGAAATGACAAGTACAACATAACTGATCAAATCAGAACAACTTTTCTTAATTTACACGTAGATCTACCAACTACCATGAGACCTAACTTTAACCATTTTACCCAATCTAAGCTCTCCCCATTGTGACTGGGATTTCACTTGATTTATATATTACAAGTAATCTAACATACCTAATGAAATGTCATTGTATCGTACACTGTTATCAAGAAGGACAAATATATTGCGATTTAAAATAAAAATGGAGCAGTTACCATCTAGCTAACTAACAACTCCATGGGGCTAACTCCTCCTTGAGAATCCACCAGTTATGCAGCTACTCAGGAATTTCCCAACACTTTATGGAATATGAAGGTTCATTACTGTGTTCACAAGAGCCACCCACTGGTCTGCATCCTGTGCCACATCAATCGAGTTCATACCACCCTAACCTACCTCTCTAAGATCCATTTCAATATTATCAACCCCTCTACATCTAAGTCTTCCTAGCGGTCTCCTTCCTTCTTGCTTTCCCACCAATGTCATATACGCATTCCTCTTCTCCCCCATTCATGGTACATGCACTGCCCCTCTCATCAGTGACTTGATTATTCTAAGTATACCTGAAGACAAGTACAAGTTATGAAGCTCCTAATTATGCAGTTTTCTCCAACCTCCTATCACTTCATCCCTCTTCTATCCAACAAATATTCTCCTCAGCACCGTTCTCAAACACCCTCAGTCTATATGACTCCCTTAATGTCAGGGACCAAGTTTCACACCCATACAGAACCACAGACAAAATTATGGTTTCGTATATTCTAATTTTTACGTGTTTAGGCAGCAGACAAGAAGTTGGAAGGTTCTGGACTGAATGGAAGCAAGCATTATCCAAATTCAATCTCCTCTTAATTTCCTCCTGAATCAAATTTTGTTTAATTACTGTCATATTTAACTTCAGTCCCATCTGGTTTTCCTGGACCTTCCTAATGGAATACGGTAAAGCAAAGATGAAAGGCAATGGTGATAGAGCATTTAAACACGTTCTGATCACCCTAACTAGTTTCATGGGTACTCTAACTTTGAGTTCCCACTCCTTGGGTGCCAAAAACTATATGAGACAATTGTACAATACGTCCCTCCTAACTGAATCATAGGCTCTCTTCAAATGTCTGAATAGCTTATGCAATTTTCATTGTACTCCCATTCTTTCTCCTGTATCTGATGAAGAAAAAAAAATGTGATCAGTAGTTGATCTGGTATGTTGAAATCTACAATGATATTCCCAATAAAGTAAAAAGTAAGTAAAGCTATCCCTGTAACAGGCCATGAAGGCCCATAGTGTTGTGAGACGATGAGGGTCCCACATTATCTAGACAATAGGCTCAAAGATGGCGGTAAGGTTGTCAGCCTTACGCGCCGACCGCACTTCACTCCCCAGAAAAATTATTTAATTCCTTGTACTCATTTCTGTTAGAGTGAACCCCAAGGCCATAGCGCGGCCAGAAGGATTAGGTCAACTTAAAAAAATCCAATGACCTCATCGGTATTTGAACCCGCGACCTTCCAAATGATATTCCCAATACTGGATAAAATTTTGTATGAAGCTGATAAACAGTGACATCCCACAATAATTAATACAATCAGTTTTATCACCTGAACTGGTACAATAACAGATTCCTTCTCCTAATCAGGCAACTGTTCCTTCTTCCTAACAGAATCAATGAGCTTATGGATCTCAGACCATGATGTTTCACCTCCTGCTTGAATCAAAACTGCCAGAATTTGATCACTACCTGCTGATTTATACATTTTCAACTTTGCAATAGCAGTTTCAACCTCAAGTACTAATGGCTCATCTGTATCTATTTCTATCTGCCTAACATCACTGACATGTACATTCAATAACTGAGAGAAGTATTTCTTCCACTTATTCAAAATGTTGTGGGAATCTGCAAGCAGATCAGCATTCTCATCTTTCACTAAGTTACTTCTAGGCTGGTAAATGCTCTTAAATTCAATTATTTTTCTATATAGGTCATTACTGTTCTTGTTCTTGCTGTTCATTGCAATCTCATTAATTTTGTATTTCAGATATTTTCTCTTTTTATTTCTGAAATACCAGCTAGCTTCCCATCTTATATTGCTGTGATTATCCCCATTTATTTCACCTAAATCCCATAACCAATGCAATTTGGTTCATCTCCTTTCATCTAATAATTCCGAGCATCCTTCATCGAACCATGGTTTATACTTGTTCAATTGATAATAACCTGGACTCTTGTACCTAATTCACGATTCTCATTCCACAGAAAAATGTACATTCACCTCCTGGTTCAGTGCCACCCTTGTCCCATCTGACCTCCTGTACTCCCACTAAATCTAACTTGTATTTTTATATTTCTTTCACAACTGTCATGAGCAAACCTGCCCTGTACAGACTTCTTACATCCCCTGTACAAAATCTCATATACATTTTCCTTAGCTTGGGTCATTTATCCAAAGAATCCATCCATGTCCGGGGCCCTCTCTGACATTTCGTAACAAACTAATTTTTGAGTGAGAAGTTGTTAGCCTCACACCCAACACCGAAGCTGATAGTTGGCTGTCCACAACTGCTTATGCAGTATATCCGCAGCTACCCTCCATATCTGGAGGCTGTCTCCTTCATCTGCAAGCTGCGGATGCACCATGCTGAGGTGACCAGAGACCCACTTAACGTGGGGAGAGTTACCATTGCACAAAGAAATGCTTTTATTTTTTCACTCGCTTTTTTTCAGCTCAGGTAAGCCACTGCCAAGTGATCTGAGAGAAATATACACACAGTGGTGAAATTCTATAAACTACAATTCTCATATAAATTTGGAAATTTGTTATATTTGGTCACATCTGACTTAACACCATATACTCATTAAATTTTAAAAATAAACACACACACATCAAACTTAGAAATTAAAAATTAAATAGTGTAAGGTGAAAATCACTATAACAGGTACAAGGATTTCCAAGGTGAAAGGAGACCTTGTGGGAATTTTAGAGATTATAGGGCTGAGGTGACAAGTTGCGAATGTTTATGTTGGTGGGGGGAAGAGTTTGTGGTTCAGGTCCACGTATTAGATTATTATGTGGGGGCAATGAAGCACAGTATTTGGTGAACCCAGTGTTCTATGCACAAGGGGCTTTCTCCCTAGGCACAGTAGTTATGCTGTTGAGGAAACTGGGTTGAAAGTATACTCATAACATGTTTTCTTCTTGAATGCTGATCAGATCTTTCATTTTTGCTCATATATGTTACTAGGTGCTTTTTGTGTATTATTTACATTTGCAGAGGTTATTCATGGTGGCCCTTTCTTAAAGTCTGTTTAGATCGCCCAGGGTGTATAAAATTGCATGAGATGTCTATGAAGGCAGCTCCCTGTGGTTGTGTTATGCATGACTGGGGGTATAAATATTCTGATTTGAACACCACCGAATACTGAGCCTTTATAATATGGACTGTCAAAGGTAACAATAGTATATTTAAGCATCCTGTTACATTCTACACAAGAAGAAGAAAAGAAGACAAAAGAACTACAATAAATTGTCGCACTGAGGACGAAGTTTGTGTCATACATGGCAAAGGTACATTGTTAACTTTTCAAACCAGTGGATAAATTCTCCTGCGCACTCGATTTTCACACGCATGCCTTCATAATTTCCGTAATACGACTAGCCCGGCAAGACTTTAGGATGGCAAATTTCCGAATATACTTTGATTGGTTACAAACTACAAACCAGAATAATTACCATCGACAATTTCTTGATGTACTTCCTAGCTTTCCGTCGTACTGCTAAAGCAGACACTTGTAATCAATATAAAAAGAGACTCTCATTTATGGAGCAATTACCTAATCATGACCTCACTTACATTAACGTCGAGAGACAAGAGGGTAAACTGGCACTATAAAAGCCAAGACATATGTAATTCAGTACATTACGCACAAACAAATCACAGTATACACTGCAAATCAACCTTCCTCACATACGATTCGCACGCCACTCACCCCGCTCACCCCATTCGCTTCTAGCAATCTTTTGTTTTCGTGCCCATGAGAAACATGACATAAGTCCCATTCACATATTCACATTTATGGCCGCTACAACCGTACTTCTTACGCCGGCCGCAGGATGGCGAATAGGTCGCACTACAGACTCGCTATCTCAGTCGGCATTCTAGCGAGCTAGGGAAACAGCTGGTATTAAGTACCGTTAAGTACTGCTACCGCGAACGTGAATCCGCGAGAGCAGTACCGCGTATACGGAGCATTTGTTAATTCTTGCGTACTTTGCAAGTGATCTGTATTATTAGTGTTAATAAAGTTCAATAACGTTAAACGCTGTGGTACCCTTATTTAGAGATAACTCAATTATATATACATTCCTGCAACGAAAAATGCAGCATGAGGACTGCAAACACTATAATTGCGCAACTGGTTATTTTGTACATTATTTTTCGTCTAACTACAGTTCCTGCTTAAAATGTAGAAACCTCGAAATGGCCAGTTCATTTTTGCCGTATATAAGAAAACGTTTCAACTTAAGCAGTTACACCAAAAAGAAACTTGGTACTACGACGTATTCTAACTTCCAATAACAGTCGTATAGTCCACAAGATAGATCAGCTGGCCAACGAAGCTCCCTTTAAATGCACTAAATAAGTGATGGAAGGATCGGGCACGTTACATCCCGAGTATTCGACGTTCGTCCTTGTGGGCAGGACAACGGGTAATAAATTGTTCTCGTTCGGTTGTAAGAGTGACATTCGATCTATAAAGAAATTTTCGAGAATAGTGTCAAATCATAGTCTATTAATCAATGCGTGGATCTCCCATAAATGCTATGTGGTATAGTAATGTAGCTCTTTGTTTCATGGGAAAAAATCAACTGAACACAATATACAACAAGGGGATGTAATCTTCTCAGCATTAAATTTTAAGGAGTATCTATAATGTTATAACTCGAAGGTAGACAGTTGTTTACTAACATCACTATATAATACGATGCAAGGGAGTTGTGGTCGGAGTTCTATCGATTCTCGCTTCGGGGTTACAGGCAGAGTTCCAAGTAACTCAAATAGCCCTGAGGAAAGTCCCCGGATCCATGGCAGAAAGTGCCTCGTAGTAAATACGAAAGCGCTAACCAGCGTTCCATTGAGGATGGGATCGTGCAAACGTGATCTTCGGAACGGGTTAGAGGTGTTGGTCATAGCACAGTTATGCAAGAAGTATTCAAATAACATGATGGGGCTCAATCTGATAGAACTCAATTTTTTTTGCACTGCATAAATAAGCAACAAATGTGTGAAGTTTTTGTTCATAAAATCACTGAATAGATTTGTGTTACGATTTTTGGATTGTGACATTTAGTTTTCTGGACTGATTTTTTATATTTCCATTATATTCGCCCTTCACAAAACATGATTAGAATGTGATGAACAGGATATATAAGTACAGTGGCAAAATATGGAAGGCATAAAAGGAGAAATCATCTGCAAGACATAGGCCAAGACGGAAAGATGATAAACCTCGTCTGAAAAAAAAAATAGGATATGAGAATGTGGAGTGGATTGAAGTGGCTAAGAGTAGGGCCCAATGGCAGCCGACATGGAGATGAACCTTTAGATGCCATTAAATATAGGACCAGCTGGGCAACTATCTGTTTCTCTACCCCAGAATCTAGTTACTGTATGATCAAATACAGCGTATATGACTGTGTTTTGTAATATCTATACTAGTGCACCACCCGTTGAAAATTTGAACAGGAAGTCTCATTTTTATACCATTAACCACTGCTTTCACCTGTATTCCTATTCACTCCTATATGCTAATGAATGATGTACTGAGGCTAATATTTAAGGCCATCTCCAATGAATAACAAGCACAAATATTCAACCGTACACCATCTGCTTTATACAGTATAATACACTTCACAACAAAATGTTATCAGTACTCATAAAATAATGTGATACTGAATGAATCTCATATATGAGATGTGATCATGAAAAAATTTATCTCAACATCCTGATAAATTCACAAATTTTTAGCCCCCTGCATTCAAAGAAGTCGTTTTTGGAAGGTGTCTGCCAGGATGGATATGCACTTCACTAATACCTGCTGAATGGCTGGATTGAATTTATTCATATTCAGTATTTAAAAGTGTAGCCATCTCAGGCCAGTGGGACTGGCAAATGTGAACACTAGTTCCAAAAATGGGAACTCCTTAAATGGGCCCTTCCCTCCCCCCTCCCTCAAAATGTTGATTTTCTTTAAAGTGGCTCTAATGGTTTAGATTAAATTTGAATATGGTACAGAGCCGTGCGTATGCCATAGCATAGTTGGTGGAGGGGCTATGCTACAAGCCAGAAGGTCGTGGGTTCAAGTCCCGATGAGGTCATTGGATTTTTTCAATTGACGTAATCCTTCCAGCCGCACTATGGCCCTAGGGTCAACACAGCCTCTAACAGAAATGAGTACCAGGAATTAAATAATTTTCCTGGGGAGTAAAGCGCGCCTGGCACGTAAGGCTGACAACCTTAACGTCATCTTTGAGCCGATTGTCAAGATAATGTGGGACCCTCAATGTCTCACAACCCTATGGGCCTTCATGGCGTGTTACAGGGATAGCTTTACTTTAGTTACTTTTTTATGGTACAGAGCCTGTCTCACTAAATAGGCGGTTTCTTTAAGAAAATAATGGTCCCTTAGTAGAGGTGCAAAAGACTACTCATTTTTGTCAAGACTGGCCTTACTGGGCAGATGGATTACACTGCTGTTTGGTATTCCTTAACCAACAGCAGTCTACCAAGCAAGAGTAAATTTTTGTTCTACGTAACATCACCTTAGTCAACTGTATATGAGAAAGTATGTACAATGGTAATCACTATCTCAGTCACCTCACTATTCTTGTAATGACTGTATAACAGCAGCTGCATTTTTAAAACACAACATTTATGTATGACATTTGTTGACACTTCCTAACTCACATCAATTAATGGTTAATTCACAACATTTGAAGATACTGACTAGATGTGTTCAATACATTGTCTAATTTATATGACTTAATCTTGCATTATCAGTACATTAGAATATGTAAGTTTCATATCAGTAATATCAACAATAACAGTAATAACAATAATGATGACGATGTGATAATACATCATGCCAGGGTACATGAAAAAAGTTGTCAGTCAAGTTACAGCAGACCAGAGATTAACTTGAATAATTATTCTATCTACTAAGTATATAACTTTTTTCTATTTACTTAATCCTTCCAGCCGCACTATGGCCCTGGGGTTGACTCAGCCTCTAACACAAATGAGTACGAGGAATCTNGGGGGGGGGGGGGCATATAAAGCTGGATAACCTTACCACCATCTGTGAGCTGATTATCTAGAGAAAATGTGGGAGCCTCGACATACCAACCCTATGGGCTTTCACAGCCTGTTACAGGGATAGCTTTACCTTTCTTTTTTTACTCAGTATATAACATGTGATGATTTTGTCAGAAGTCATCCAAGCAACAGTCTAATTTAGCCTTGGCTTATGGAACAGTTCTGTGTAACATTTGGACGAACTGAGCACCACTTTGCAGAAGTATTTTGTCTTTACAGCATAGCATTAGTTTCTTTCCACAAATAATCTCAATCACAATGGATTTTCCTGTACCTGAAAACCTCAAATGAAGAAATATGTAGTGATTTCAGGGTAACACACTATGTCACAAACTGTATTCAGAGATTCTCTTTAGATCATATGTTCAAAGCTCATTTGAAATAAACCTGTAAACCATATGAGAACATAAAATATGGGGAAGAAATATTTTTTCAGGACTCAACTTATGTACATTTATAGCGGCCTCCGTAGCCTAGAGGTAATGTTCCCACCTCATGACTCGTGGTACACAGGTTCAAACCCGGCGGAGGTCGTGGAATTTTTAAGGGCGGAAAAATTCAGGGAACAAGTCCTCCAGGAGGGACTTTAAGCTGTGGGTCCCATGTCGTAGCTTTACGGCACGTAAAAGAACCTCATATCTCCAAAGGAGGTCACTGAGCTAAATTCAAGGACATTTCCCGCCCAACAGTAGTCTCTAACGCCTCTGATAGATGGGGGAAGCATTATAGATACCGCCAAGCCAGTAGAGGCCGAACTCGCTGGCTCGGTAGGGACTGATGGTACACACCAATATCGGTAGGGTATAGAGACTGGTAGAATATCATAAGAGGGAAGCACAATGGACCAATACTGGTCTCAGTGCATGGGGAAACCCACCCTCTCCAATAACTAACTAACTATGTACATTTATTCTTTCTTCCAAGTTATTGAGGAAAACCTAGTACCTTGCAACAGTGCATTTTTGTGACGCCTCACCAGGCAGTTCATATCGCATATTCTCCCAACATATACAAAATATACACATGTCTATGTACACACATTTATTTCCATCAGTATAACAACTGATCTGTGATATCCATGAAGACACATAGATAACTAAGTAATATATTTTTTCACATAGAGGTGCTACCAGAAAGTTCCCAGACTGTTATTGTTGTAACTGCCTCGGTGAGAGATGAGAGAGGGGCCCAACATTATCCCCCCACAAGCCTACTGCATCAGTCTACCACGTGACACCACTCTGTGAACATGCACTGTTTTTACACAAGTACTTTTTTGACTTCGTGTTTCATTTTGTCTGCAATGGATGGCAAAATTGAGCAAAATGTCTGCATCAAGTTCTGCACAAAGCTCAGTAAATCTGCTACCGAAACCCTTGAAATGCTTCATGGGGCTTTTGGAGAACATTCTTCAAGCCAGACAGTGGTTTTTGAATGGCATTCATGTTTCATGACCGGTCAGTTGAAGATGAACATTCAGGGCGACCAAGCACCAGCAAAAACAGTAAATGTTAAAAAAATTGTACAAGTCGTCCATGAAGACCATCACCAAACAATCCATGAGCTTGCAGACACCGCTGGGATCAGATATGGAGTTTGCCAAGAGACCCTCACAGAAAATTTGAACATGTGCCACATTGCTGCAAAGTTTGTTCCCTCACTCTTGACAAATGATCAAAAGCAGCAATGCGTAAATGTGTCTTGAGCTATGAGAAGGCTAACAAGGACCCAGCTTTTATCTCCTGGATCATAACACATGACAAAAGTTGGATTTATGGTTATGACCCAGAAACAAAGCACAATCATCACAGTGGAAGAGCCCACAACTACCAAGAGCAAAGAAGGTGGAGCAGGTCCAGAGTTCAACAAAGAGCATACTCACTGTTCTTTTCGACATGAAGGGGATAGTTCACCGTGAATTTGTTCTTCCTAACACTACAGTAAACTCTGACTTTTACTGTGAGGCCCGTAAGAGAAAATGTCCGATCAAAAAGANAACTGCTCTGAAGATGGAGGCGCTACGTTCCTCCGAAACGTCGGCCAAAACGAAGATTACACGGTGCCTAAACCCAGAAGACAACTTTCTTCAAAAAGACCAGAACTTTGGCACAACCACAACTGGCTCCTTCATTGTAACAACGTGCCCACCCATACGTCCCTGCAAGCCACAGAGTTTGTGAATAACAACATGGTTATCATTCCCCATCCTGCCTACTTGCCAGACTTAGCCCCTTGTGATTTTGCTTTTTTCCCAAATTGAAAATGAAACTGAAGGGACGACATTTTGAAAGTGACTGTCATCCAAAGGGAACTGCAAGCAGGACTTAACAGCATTAAGGAAAATGATTTCCACGGTGCTTCTGAAGTACGGAAAAAACGATTGGATCACTGTATACATTCCCAAGGAGACTATTTTGAAGGAGATGGCAACAAAACTGATTAATTATTTTCTTTTTTGACCTAGTCCAGGAACTTTCTGATACACCTCATATCTTGGAATCAAGATGCCTTGCTACTGTCATAAACTTAGATATTAGCACAGCTGTTCCTGCTAAACTCTGATAGTGCAGTATTTATTGTTGTTGTTGTTGTTGTCTCTGCTGTTAGGGTGTGGTGCCAGCGAGTCCCTTGGTGCTTCGGCCATTAATGTCAAACAGTACCAGCCTCAGACAACAGATAAGAGAAATGGAACACTTAGTGGAATTAGAAGCCACGCCATAGCTAAAGTGGATAGTCGCTGGCTTCCCACCGCGACGACCTGGGTTCGATCCCAGGTCTGAGCAAGTGGGATTTGTGGTGGACAAAGTGGCACCGGGGCAGGTTTCCTCTGAGTACTTCGGTTTCCCCTGCCAATCTTCATTCCACCAAATTCTCCATCATCATAATCACCCAGGCAGGCTACAATAGGTCAATCAGTGGCAGCCATGGACCCAGTTGGACTCCACCCCCCACTAAGCGAATTAAAAAAAAATAGTGGAATTAGAACTGGCACAAAATATAGTGCTGATGAGATTCTGTAGTTAGTTATTCCATTATATCTTACTATGTTTTGTCATCACACACACAATAGCTCATATTAAATTAATCATTAATACATATCAATTTAAGTAACATGGCTTTGTCATCGAATGTGCTCCAAAAATTTCTAAAATGGCGCTGTATGTAGATGCTGTGCCACCAACAAGTCCTATTAATATTAGTTCCCATAAATAGACCCGGATGTATGTTGGGATGTGCCTGGAAAAAAGAAAGACATTTGAGTTCTGTACAAGACCCACCTAATATACAGTAATACCTTCATTACTAGATAATTCAGATTATTGTAAATTCAAAAAAGGTATCAGCTCTGTCCAAGAAAAGATTAGTTGTTAAGATCTAAGGCTCTCACAGCAGTAGGTATCAGAAGTATGGTATTCTGGGATATGATGCCATATAGTAGTTTAGTAGATACTCATAGGTACCAATGTTTCTGAGGCAGCTTCTGTTTCCATCTTCAGAGCAGAATTAAACTGCGGGGAAGAAATGCCACAGATAGAGAGAAGGGAAAACTAAGACCAGGAATATGAGCAAACCAACAGGAACCAGTGACCCTGAACAGGCCCTCTGTCTCAGCAAGTCATGAAAGCCTCTCATCTACACACTGAAGGAAGATATGAAGCCTCCTCCTAAAGATATGATGTGACAGAACCCTCCAAGTTATAACACTTAAATAATTTGAAATTATTACTATACAAAACACAGTTTGTATTATTCTTAATAATTTGTTTAGCCTAACAATTTCATAAGTAACAAGGAAACCAGTCAACTCTGATCTAGCAGGTAGTTGTCAACTTGCTGCAAGACAGCATCTGCTGTTTGCAAAAGCACAGGATTGGAGATGGTGAGGGAAATCAAATACCATGTGAGGAAAAACAGACCAGGCCAGTGCACTGCCTGTTGTGAATCATCAAAAAGTTCATAGGTTTTCTATAGTAGACTATGAGTGATTTATTCTCCGTGGTTTTAGTCCGCAAGCGAACTATACCAACCGAGCGACTTCCGCTTATCAGCTAAGTTAGTGCCAACTTTTAGTAGATAGAGGGTGTTGTGTGGTCAGCGCAACAAATCCCCATGGCCGGTAATTTTGGTTTTCTAGACAAGAGCCGCTATTTCCTTGAAATAGCTCCTCAGTTATCATCATGAGTGGACCCCTTTCCAGACCCACTACTTCTCAGAAAAAATCTGATAGCCCCAGGAATCAAACACGGACCACTGGATCTGTAGCCAGAAACTCTGACCCCTAGACCACAGAGGCAATCTGAGTGATTTATTACAAAATGAAAATATAATGGATTCTGACTTAACATGAAGTAACCACAAGAACCTGGGTGTTCTTCCTCTTTCATTGCCAAGATAAATGAGCGAAGACTACTATGGGGGCAGATACTAAAATTCCATTATGTAGAATGATTTCACATGTACAGTAAGAAAGTAATACCTCTCAGGCCAATTCTGTTGCTTCTCCTGGTCACACAGTCTCATGTAGAAGAAAGATGGCAATACAAATGTGAGAAGAGTGATAGTTGAACCACCAACCAATGATAATATTTTCCCAAATTTTGGAATACTTTCACCAACAAATACCATCACACACACCATTCCTGTCCGTACCAAGCACCGCTTCCAGTGGAATTCTGGAAGTAAAGAAAAAAGTATATGATATTTCACATTGCTTTGACCCCATGCTGCATTGTTACTACAATTTAAAACCTCACATTTTTTACTACTAGTCTTCAAAGGTAAAGTTGCCCCTGTGTCTAACTAATTAAGCACTATGCCATGAAGGCGTATGGGGGAGTGGATGTATAGATCCACGTATTCTTGACCGTGGCACTAACTGGAGGTGAGGGGTCAGTTTCACGCCCCAGCCATTTCCTCCCAGGGAAAAAGCCCTGGTACCCATTTGATAGTAGGTTGGGTGGACCTCAGAGCCATCCTGGACAACGTGGAAGAGAAAATTCTTGACCTTACTGGGACTCAAACTCCAACCCTTCGGTCATCCAGACCATAGCCAGTCGCTATACCAACTGTGCTATCCCAGATCCTATTACTAGTCTTCAGGAAATTAGACAATATTAGGAACATTTTTGGAAGTGTTAACTAGAAACAAATGTCGAGAAGCCCTCATAGTCTTTTTTTCAGGTACTCTCCCAGCATTCATAGGGAAGAACTGAAAAAACAATAAAACCTCCAAAATATACAATGCTAAAATCAACATGCTGCAAGAATTAGCCACTTTTGATACAATAATTATAGTTATAAAAATCAGATGAACAAATATGTTTAAGATATCCTGAAATAAATAATATGTTTTGTTTCTTTGTGGCAAACATTATTCCTCTTTTTTTTTTTTTCATTTCATGCATCCTGCATTTTAGCCTTGACCTTTATATTGTTGTGTTGTGACACACTCTAATAAAGAAATTGCATTATTACTCATACTTACCATGTGGAACTTGAAAGATCTCTTCTAATTCTTGACACACTGGGTTGATGATTATAAGGAAGGCCAAGATCAAATGCATGGCTAGAAGCATGTTTGCCAACATTATCAAACTTGTATTCTTTACTGTCAGTACAATGTTTGGATCTACTGCTTCCCCATACACAAAGTAGCCAGCTGCAGCTACTGGCAGGTATAGAATCAGTATAACTGAAAAATAAAAACAATCTCAAGCAGCCTGTAGCATTTCATACCAGAACAAACAGTTTTTGTGCAGACAGTAGCAAATCTCCGGAGGTCAATTCAAGTAATTAATAGTATTTCGTATCAAGACAGTGTTTGTGAAATCTGTCTACTTAAGCACAGAGCAAATTCTAAGTGTCAAATGTAAGAGATCTTTCTCTTTTTCAGGTAACTGAAATAATGGATTACTTTACTTTGAGATTATTTAATGACACTTACTCAACTACACTAGTGAAGCAGTGTTATATAGCAAGAACAAACAAAGAACTCTGTGGTCTGTAGTCAGCAAGCGAACTATACCAACTGAGCGGGCACCGCTTGTCAGCGAAGTCAGTGCCAACTTTGGTGCATAGAGGGTGTCACATGTTCAGCGCAACGGTTCCCCATGGCCGTTAATCTCGGTTTTCTAGATCAGAGCCACTATTTCCTTGAAATAGCTCCTCAACTATTCTCACAAGGCTGAGTGGACGCCAATTCTGGACCACATGTTCTAAAAAAAATCTGGTAGCTCTGGGAATCGAACCCGGGACCTCAGGAAATCTGACCACTAGACCACAGGGGTGGTCTCGTTATACAGTAAGGTGAATGTGAAAAATGAACTGGGAAAGGATGTAGAAAGAAGCACCCACGGCTCATTTCAATTCACAATTCCAGTATTTGACTGGAAGGACTGTAAAAAAACATTAAAAAATTGTCCCATAGCCAGTCTCTGGTAAGCAATTTCAGACTACTGATAAATTATGATATACGTATATTTTAGGTTTGTTTTCAAAACGAAATACACATCACAGGGCTATGTCCACTGAATGTGTTTGTCTCTTCAGTGACTCCAGTATTGGTTAGCCACATGAAATTTTGATTGACACCATTGAGTCTAGGATCCTGAAAATATTATCATAATAGAGATCATAAATATTAAACTTATATTCAAATAGGTATTATAAAATGTGGAAGATAATAAGACGGTAACGACACAAAATATTTTTTATTTGATGATAATGTTTTAACCAGAATATGAAGTTCAACTATGAGCAGTGCATTGGCTCTACACAAACCACTACCTTTAGTCATAAGGAAACTGGTCTTTACTAAGCCTATTTGTTAAAGCCTGACAAGCCTCTTCACATAACTTTCACTTTTGGCTGATATATTTAGCATATAAAAAATGTTCACTAAAGTTGTGCTCAGTTTATACTTGAATGATAATAATAATGATATAAACTGTTACTACATTTGCACACATGTACAGTATTAACCAGTACTAACAAAATGTATATGTCTGAGCATATTTCAATATGAAAGAATTTCTTACATCATTCATGAATTTATGTGAGGAGTACTATTACATGAATAGACAAAGCACTCAATATTGTATTTTTGTATTGTATTGGAGAGGGTGGGTTTCCCCATGCACTTAGACCAGCTGTTGGTCCATTGTGCGTCCCCCTATGATATTCTATCAGTCTCTATTCCCTACCGGTACTGGTGCGTGCCATCAGTCCCGACTCAGCCAGCGAGTTCGGCCTCTACTGGCTCAGCGGTATCTCGATGCTTCCCCATCTACCAGAGGCGTTAGACACTACTGTTGGGCGGGAAATGTCCTGAATTTGGCTCAGTGGTCCCCTTGGGACATGAGGTTCTTTTATGTGCCGTAAAACTACGACATGGGACCCACGGCTTAAAGTCCCTCCCAGAGGACTTGTTCCCTGAATTTTTCCGCCCTTAAAAATTCCACGACCTCTGCCGGGTTTGAACCCACGTACCTTGAGTCACGAGGTGGGAGCGTTACCCCTAGACTACGGAGGCCGCTACGCACTCAATAACAAGATATTTCAATCTAGCAGAAGAAATTTTATGGCTGCTTTTAACTGAACTTTATCCTTAAGGATGAGGCATGGAATATTTAACATACTTTCATTAACCACAATTTAAAGTAACAATTAAAGCTTTAACACAAAATCAAACTAGCATACTTTAAACCACAGTTTTAAATACATCAACAGGCAGTTACCTGAGAAGCCAATGACAACACTAATGGAAAATTTGTTCTTCTGTACCATGTCATTTTGGATTGTTGGAAACGTAGAAGCTCCACCAAATGCAAACTGAATTGTTCCAAAGGCAAGGAAGAAACTTTTGAAGTTGTGGGAATCATGTTTCACAGGTTTAGTTGAATTTGATCCGTCAATGACAATTTGTGCAAAGATAAAGATGCAAGCAAATGCTGTTGTTAGAATGGCACCTATACCAACAGCTCTGAAATAACAAGGGTTTCATAATGTATATAAATGAACCAAATAAAACAAAGTGAAAATAAATAAAGTGAATAAACAGGGAACATTCTGAGGTTAATGTAAATTTACTCCTGTACCAAGAATCAAGTCAGCATATCTAAGGAATGCAGAAAACAAATAACGTTATTATTTAATATCCTCAAATGTTATACTACTCTTGTCAAAAAAGTATCCAACTTTGGGCCAGGAAAACAAAGTTCTGTATCTGGGTGGTTACAATACCTTGGCCCCTTGTGACTCCACACACTTAGCCCAGCGGTCCTTCCATCGCTGGAAGCAATTCTGGAAGGCTTTTTTGGAATGGCGTGCAGTTGCGCCATCGTGTTCTGTATGATGTCCTCACAGCTGTCAAAACGGGAGCCTTTTAGCAGTGTCTTCAATCTCAGGAATAGCCAGAAATCACAAGGAGCCATGTCAGAAGTAGAGAGCCTAGCAAACCTGCGGAATGCCATGCTTGGCCAAGGAACAGTGGAACAGGTGTGATGAATGAGCTGGGGTGTTCTCATGATGCAGCTGCCAGTTGCATGCATGCCACTGCTCCGGTCTCGTACACCGAACTGCATCATGAAGATGGTGGAGGACTTCTTGGTAGTACTCCTTACTGACAGTTTGGCCTACTGGTGCATACTCATGATGCACAACACCCCGGTAATCGAAAAAGAAAAACAGTCAGTATCACCTTCACATTACTCCGAACCTGTCATGCTTTTTTGGACCTCAGGGTTGTTGGATGCTTCCATTGTGATGCTTGGACCTTGGTTTCTGGGTCATATCCATACACCCATGACTCGTCACCTGTGATCAGTCTTCAGGAACTCAGAATCCCTGTTGGTGCACTCCAGCATGTCCTGCACAACCTCAAGGCAGAGTTGTTGCTGCTCCAGCGAAAGCAGCTTGGGAACAAATTTTGCCGCCACTCTTCGCATGCCCAAATCCTCAGTTAAAATTGCGTTTGCAGAATCTCTGCTGATCTCAACCTATCAGCAACTTTCCAGATGGTCAAACAACGGTCCTCCATGATCAACGTCCACACCTTTTCAATGACATCAGCATTTTGGCTCGTTGACGGTCTCCCAGAACGCTGGTTACTGTCTGCCAACATATGGCCATCTTTAAAGTGGTTGAACCGCTCTTTAATTTGAGTGACCACCATTGCATCATGGCCAAAAGCCTGCTGAATTTTGTGGATTGTTTCTGCTTGGGGATCCCCAAGTTTCTGACAAAACTTGATGCAGTATTGCTGCTCCAAGCGTTCTGTCATCATGAGCGAAACGAGAATGGGCCAAACACATGTTAGACTACTTTACTATCTGGCAGCCACAGACACATCCAGCAGTGTTGCGAGTCAGCAAAAAATCACACATGCGCATGAAAGTCCCTTCTACCACTACGCTCAGTTTCCCCACCCCTTTGGCCATTACTGACAGCGGCAAAAAATAAAGTCGGATACTTTTTGGACAGCGATGTAAACTGTATTGCATGTATGTATAATATTAAGTATGTACTTCACATCTCAGAGATGTGAGGAGAAAAATAAAATGGTGATTTATGATTTTCTAAAATCTGAGTTGATGTTAATAAGGTTACTGAATTTTCAGGGTCCATAAAAACAACTCTGCAGACAATTTAAATATGCATCTTTACCATGCTTGTTTCATCTGCTGCACATGTCCTTTCAAAATGTCAGTCATCACTTCAGGTACACAGACACAAGGAGACAGCATGTGGCAGATTTAACGTACCTGAAATCTTTGGGTGTTCCCAACCACATGGCAGGACAAAGTAATGCAGCTATTATTAAAAACCAAGTGCAGAATCCAACATTTGGTATTATATTTTCAAAAAGGTCTTGTATTATCTGTGATGAGAGAAGCAGATACACTGTTCCAGCCCCAAAAAGTGTAAACTGGATGCATCCTGATACCAACATACTGAATATCAGGAGGAAAAAATCATTAGTTATAATTAATAAAATTACTGACAAGTTTAAAATAATTTAACACAATTAAATATCACACACATTTCCAATAATCCCTTGGTTCAAGACTCGTATAATATCAGAAGTATGACATTTATAATATTATCAGCTAGACACTACTCCTGTTCAAAAAATTTCCATATTGCTCACCATTCTGGGAAAGACAGGACTTTCGAAAAATGATGTTTCCAGTCATGGCAGAGACAATGGAATGCATTTATAAATCCTGAAGTGAAGTACTTCGAAGGTGGCTACATTCATTAAGGGTTAGTGATAAAAAGAATCAATCAGGTTATTCAATTATCAGACAACATATTACCACAGTTAATATGTGTATGAAAACTAAAAGAGCTAAGCAACTTTGACTTCAATGTGTTCAATGGTAAAATAGTCATACAGCAAAATTCTAACTTCTGGTGTCCTTGAAGAGCAGCAGATTTGAAAACTAAACTGAGGAAAACAGCAGTCTTCTTGGATGTGGCACCATATAGGTATTGTGTTAACCGACGTTTCACAGGAACGTATCGCTTCCATCTTCATGGTAGTAGAAAAAAGAAATACACACGCAAAGAAAGAGTGTGACCAGGTGCAAATAGACTACTGTCGAGAAGGGTCAAGAACGTCAAGAATAAACCCAGCTGTATAGAGCAGGAAGGGATGGGAGAGGGGGGGCTACATGGGAAATCAGTAGAGAGGAGAGAGGAGGGGTCTGGGCAGGTTGGGCCAGCAGATACAGAATANGGGGGGGGGGGGAGAAAGGCAAGGTTAATGGGAGGGCATTAACCCTTAAGCTTGGGGGTTGCTATGTGAGTCGGGCATGACCTTCTGGATCCGGCGTCATGTCCCAGGGAGTTTATTAGGGAACAGATGGGAGGCTTCCATGACTTGCTGAGACAAACCCCCACCTCTCTGTTCATATTGTCAGGATGGAGTTCAATCTCAATGGTCTCCCTAATAATGCGATCCATATAACGGGTTTTGGTGGAGGTTTTCTAAAGCTGAATGCGGTATCCCAAATCAGTGCTGTGTTTAGCCACAGCTGACTTGTCCGGATGTGCCGCTGATGCTCCTTCAACCTCGTGCCCACAGAACGGCCTGTCTGCCCAACACAGACCTTGCATCTTAGATTGAACTCCATCCCAACAATATAAACAGAGAGGTGGAGTTTTGTGTCAGCAAGTCATAGAAGCCTCTCATCTGTTCCCTCAAGAAAACCCCGGGACATGACGTCGGATCCACAAGGCCACACAAGTCAACGCCCGACTCCCATAGCAAACCCCAAGCTTAAGGGTTAATGCCCTCCCATTAACCCTTAACCCTGCCTTTCTCCCCCAACACAATATCCTATACCTGCTCTAGCCTGCACCTGCCCAGACCCCTCCCCTCTCCTCTCCTCTCTACTGATTTCCCATACAGCCCCCTTTCCCATCCCTTCCTGCTCTATACGGCTGGGTTTATTCTCGACGTTCTCGACAGTAGTCTTTTTGCACCTGATCACACCGGCTCTTTGTGTATGTATTTTCTTCTTTTTTCTTCTACCCTGAAGATGGAAGCGATACGTTCCTGCGAAACGTCGGTTAACACAATATCTACACGGCGCCACAACCAAGAAGACTGCTCTCTTCGTAGTCACCACCGTGAAAAACTCAAATCTTATATAAACTGAGGAAGATCTGAAATGGAGGAAAGTTAACATATAACTGGCTTGGGATCACTGAAATTGATCATTAAATGTGAGAAAACCTTAAACTGAAAAATATTAAATGGAAGTTCTTCCATATCTCATTGCATTACTGTCATCAAATCCACTTTATGACTTTTCCTGTTTCATTTCGGTTTAATTTAATTTTTCAGAAATACAGAAAATCAGATGTACTATTTATGATGCACATATGTACCTAGTATCAACCAGACTTTTACAGGTAAGTACATTAGGTTACAGCAGAAAGAAATACGTAATATGGAACAGTATCAAAGTTAACATGAAAACAAAACAATACAGTGCTACAGCAATCTGAGTTCACTAATGACAGTTACAGAAGTGAGAACTGGTATACCTTCCCCACCTGCCTACTGCTCTGTAGGCAATTGCTGCATATGGATTTCTAACAGGGCTCCTGTATTCTGGGTACCGTTCCTCTAGAATCGCCCAACATGCCCCTAGCCTTGTTCCTCCATAGCCCGCATTCACACAGAAATACACAATCAACACCAATCCAATCAAGCCTATGGACACACAAGTATTGCATGTTAATTATGAAATGATAAAAATGCTCTAAAGTAGGATGATAGCCAACAAGACATGAAAATGCAAAAATATGAAGGAACATCTGTTAAGACTGGGACTGTTTTTTTAAATTCTGAACCTCTAAATATTTACAGAATGTTAGTTGAGATTTACAGCAACAATAATATTAATTAAATTCTTTAATTTTATGTGCTAACTCAGCAGTTACAGAAGACAATTACAGAGTCGCACAAAATAAAAAAAAATAAAAAAACAACACACATATGATGACAAATATATTGAAGCATTTAGCACACACACAAGTATAACTTTATAATAGTACTGAGCATAACAAGCCATGATGACTACCAATTAACTAAATTAAACAAAAGACTAATATTAAAGACATTGTTATCTAACATTTTGATGGTGTTACATTTTTAAGTCGGGGCACACGGTAGTGTAGTTGGTTGAGGGGCTATGCTACAAGCCAGAAAGTCGCGGGTTCAAGTCCCAATGAGGTCACTGGATGTTTTCCAGTTGACCTAATCCTTCTGGCTGCACTAGGCCCTGGGGTTTAGTCAGCCTCTAACAGAAATGAGTACCAGGAATTAATTGAATAATTTTCCTGGGGAGTAAAGCGCGGCCGGCGCATAAAGCTGACAACCTTACCGCCATCTTTCAGCCGATTGTCTAGATAATGTAGGACCCTCAACGTCTCACAACCCTATGGGCCTTCACAGCCTGGTACAGGGATAGCTTTACTTACTTCTTACTTTACTTTTACATTTTTAATTTGCAGCTAAGATGCAGTGCACAAAATTACATGATGATGATGATGATGATGATGGAGGACGAGAAACTAATTCTTCAAAGTTAAGCGTTAAATATTTATTCTCATGAAAGTTCTTATTTATATCTGCATGTCCTTTTTTTCTTCCATTTCAAAACATCTGATGCACCACGTTACAAAGTCTGGTGGTTAAGTCACAGTATTGTAAGTTTAACTCTAAGCTTGCCATTCATTATACATATCTCCCCCATGCCCTCTGGCTCTACAGCCCTTCAGACCTTGGCTGCTATTTCAGTTTCTTAATCCTATACACAGTTGGTAGGGCTCCTTGGATGGGATCAGCCTGTTGCAATGCCCCTATCTACACACAGATCTCCATGCCTCGAGTGTGATTCAAACCCACAATCCCAGTCTTCAAGCAGGCAAAGACAGTTCGTGCCTTAGACCGTGCAGCCACTGTGACTGGCTTATTACTTCATGCCCCGAAGAAAACAGAAATATCTAAATTCATTATCAGATTAATTTTCTTAACATCACAGGCAACGTAAAATTCCATCCTGGCATTTGCCTGAGGGACTGTGGAAAACCACAAGGACCTCAGGACAGCTGGTGTCCCAGCTGAGGTACAAATTAGTAGTGTTACCACTTGAACCAACTTGCTTGGTGTGAAGTACATAATACAAATACATAAGGCATATCACTTCCTATAATAAAGGCCGCCAAAGATACATATCAAGGAAATGTTACAACTTTATATACATTAATGATATTTACAATACGTATTGATTTTCTACATAAGCCTTCTTTTTTTTTTAGAAATATAATGAAGTTCTTCTGTTTCACATAAATGTATGGGTTATACATGTAAATGACCACTGCCCAACAAAACAAAATTTGCCTGACAATTTTTAATTGGCACCCCATTTCCCTTGTCAATGCCAAATCTCATCAAAATCCGTTAAACACTTTCAGACATAAAATATGTGGAAGAGCAGATGGACAATAACCCCCAACGTGTATCACTTTTAAGTACTTTGCCCGATGTATAAAAATTAATAAAAGTATTCAAAAGTAGAGGTCTGAAATATAAATACAGCTGAGGACATGCAAACTGCCTTAATGTATTTATTGTTCCTGTTAAAATACTGCTAATTTTTAGTAGGGCATATTTACCTATAACTCAAAAATTGTTATATGAAGCTACTGCTGGAAAATGAGAAAGCACTATATAGCAGGGCAAAGGTATGATAAAAGATGAATTAAAAATGTAAGCACAGCTGCTCTTGACTGATAAAACATGCATATTTACAAGAACAAATGTCAAGAATAAAACGCACTTCCTAGTCATACAAAGAATTGACGTATCTTTAAGTCTATGAACTGGTCAGTGACCCATGACAGCTCCTGATAACAGTCAGTAAGAATCCTGTTTTACCCAGTAACTAACATCAAGATACAAATGACCCTATAGAATATTCACATAATATTTGTTATTATTTCATTCAGTAACTATTTCTTAGCTCTTCTTCAAAAACAATATTTGCTTTGCTGAAATATGCCAACAATTTTGCACAGCTGTACATTTTTCTACTAACGGTGGTAGCCAACTACAAAGCCTTGCTTTCCCTTCTTGCTAAACAATATAAAGCACAACCAGGGCAAACTAGCAAACAAATGATGCATACCAGAAACTTCTCAAAATTCCACATCTGCTGGTGCTTGTGGATTTCAATATTCCAGCTAAGACCACAAAAGAGAGTACTGAACAGTAAGTTTTTAGAAGAGGAAAAAGTGATACACATTACACTTAGTTTCCTGAGAACCAACTACAAAATCCATACATTTACAATCAGTACTCTTAATAAAGATATCTTGTCTTAATGACTGGGATGAAGGAACAAACTGCAGCGTATGTATCCACAACCAGTCACTTTTCAAACACATACATACACATAACAAACTACTCTTTACATATTTACCTATATAATTTCTCTTTAATGTATTATGAGCTGGAACAACTCAATCGGTACAGTGACTGGCCATGTGCTAAACAAAGAGGGCTCAATTCTCAGCAGGAGCTGAGATATTTCTCTTTGCCACCCAGACTGGCTCTGAAGTCCACCCAGCCTCCTAGTCAATGAATACTAGGGGCTCTCGCCCCAGGGATAAAGCAGCTGGAGCATGAAGTTGACCATTCTCCTCCATCTAGTGCCAAGGTTAAGAATATGTGAACCCAAGTCTCCACTCTACCACACTTCTACAAGGTGAAGCACTTAATTAAGTTACAGGGTCAACCTCAGCTTTGTCTTTTGATAGTGCTTTAAACCAAGGATGTCCAATTGTATACATGCATGCATAATCATTAAAAGACTTCTTAAATAAATATACACATTAGAGTGTATGGGTCAAATAGTACAATGTGATTCTAAATTATTGTAGAGGTTTCCACGGCCTGTAATTTTCAAACCGAAAACAACCGCTTGAGATCTCATGTGCCACGAAAGGTACACATGGTGAAGTTAATTACCATTCTGCAGGATTGTTTCTGTAGGTAATAAAACTTTTTGAATTTCACTTTCATATTCCTTAAGCAATTTATTTTATTGTTTCCAGTTTGAAAATTACAGGCCATGGAAACTCCGACAATAATTTAGAATCGCCCTGTATAATACAGCTGCTGTACCCTGAAATCTTTAGCTCATGAAAGATTTGGCACAGATGCTATAAACTGAAGTTGAACCATTACTGATCTTCAGCTAGAGCACAGTCACAGATGAAGCTTTAGGCACATACCTTAGTCCAGGGTATGAAAGAAGCTCTACCTGGGAGCCTAATGGAGTATAATTTTCTTCATATCCACTTATAGACTATGTAATCCGGCTCAAGAGGTACTGCTTCTTACTTTCATTTGGGGGGGGGCCCTGTTTGAAATTTGGCTTGGACCAGACCAACCATCCTGACTGAAGTTTTTAATGATTTTCCTCACTAATCCCTTCAGCCAAATTCTTGGATAGTGCCTTAAATTGTTACATGAACGCTTCTTTCCACATCCTTTACAATTCATTATCCACAATTATCTTTTGCATTTCATTTAAACTACAAATAAAATAAATATACAGAAATCCATTGGAAGATTTAGAAAGAACCCACTTCCAAAATGTTAATTTTTTATACACAAAAACTGCTACAATAGACAAAGTCAAGAACAGTAACCTTAAATATTATGTCCACACTTACTTACTTACTTACTCATGGAGCTGAGCCCTTCTGGAGGAGCCGCCAATTCTGCAACTACTCAAGAATTTCCCAGCATTTTATGAACCCGAAGGTTCATTACCGTGTTCACAAGAGATGTCTGCACTATTATCAAATAACTTTGAACTTAGAAAATTTCCTTTTGAAGACTAATTTAACTTCAAGAGGCTATGCTGTGACACATTCATTAATATTTGTTAGTCAAAAGTTATCCTTAAATATAAAGAGTACTGGCTTCGTTTTTTACATTTATCCACTATCCACTTTTCACTTTGCATCGCCCTCATCTGACACAAATCCTCTAATGTACTAATATTACAACCAATTTTAGAAGACAGTGACAATTTGTGAACAGTATGCAGAATTGAACTTGAGGAATGTAAGGTCCTTAGGAACTGTATCAAGCAAGACATTTGCCGTTAAGCATGTAACATCCGATGGTCTGCAATGTGCTACAAAATGTTCAAGGAAATGATCAGTGAAAAATTCATCATAATCAGCAACTGCCTACTTGTGTCTAAATTACTTCTGCACTCCTATTTCCTGTACAGGTAAAAGTGGACAACAAGATCATACATATTTCCATTACAAGGAGTTTGCCACATGATACAAATACAATTTAAGAGCCCACTATCAATGCATATATTACATTACATTACCTGGATCCAAAGTTAGTCAAAATGACTGTAGGACGTGGAATATGTCATAAATACAAAAACATGTGTATAGTACAACTGCAGTTTTAACACAAGGAACCTATAGAAAAGACAGTGGTTATACATAAGGCTATCCACATCAATACTGTAAATGTATGCTATTTACACAGTGTTTAAAAGGATGAGTCACTTTTCAGACAATAAGTATTCATCAACAGAGTAGAATGAGTGTATGTTTAAGTATTGTTTTAGTGTAATTTTAAATCATGCTTTTTCATTCATAAGACTTTTGAGATCAGATAGAAGATTATTGAAAATGCTGATATCAACATAATATGTGCTGTTCTGAAAGCATGGGAGGTTAGCAATTGGTTTAAGGAGACAGTGCTTGTGTCTTGTGTTAAAACTGTACTACAATTTATGGCTGTATTTATGATGCTCTCAATTAACTTTAACTTGCCAGCTATCCAACAACATTGCTGCCTCCAAATAACCTTTACCCCAAAGTGTTACTCCTCCATAATTTTCATTTCCAAAATGCAAGTGCTCTTGATACATTTTCTCAATACCATAATGATCTGATGATCTTCTCTACTGCAAGGCCACATGAAATGTCAACTGTAAACCTTGGCAACCTTGTTTGGAAGTGGAGGTACTGCTCCAACATTCTTGACCTTGGCACTAGATGGAGGTGAGTGGTCAGCTTCACACTGTGGCCACTTTACCCCCAGGGAAAGAACCCCTGGTGCCCATTAAACAGGATGCTGGGTGGGCTCCAGAGCCAGTCTGAATGCTGTGGGATAGAGAAAAATCTCTTGCTCCTGCCGGGAATTGAACCCTGGCCATCCACTTACATAAGTCACAGATATCCTATTGGATGTCAAAACATTTCTGTTGGACACACTGTGCTTGTTCCAGTATCTGTAAACAATGAAAGCCACTTCAAACATTAGTTTCTTCATTTATTCTATGTAACTGGAATTATTACGTGATCTGGGATATCATAGTCGGTATAGTGACTGGCTACAGGCTGGATGACCAAGGGGTCGGAGTTTGAGTCCCTGTAGGGTCAAGAGTTTTCTCTTCTCCATGTCGTCCAGACCGGATCTGGGGTCCACCCAACCTCCTGTCCAATGAGTATCGGCGACTCTTTCCCCATGGGTAATGTGGCCAGGGCATGAAGCTAACCACTCATCTCCAGCTAGTGCTAAAGTCAAGAAAATGTGGATCTATGCATCCACTCCTCCATACACTTTCATGGTGTAGTGCTTAATTAGTTAAGCACAGGGACAACTTTACTTACTTTTACTTTACAGGTATTATTAACATGGTGATGACTTCTAGAGCTAAAATTTGGCCCTGCATCATTCTTTCTGTCATCGGCATAATAGACGTATCAAATTCCAACACTATCTACCAATATGCTTTCATTACAAACATGTCAGAGTACATGATGAAGGCAACAGCTTAGACAGACAGAGTCTGAAGGTTACACGAGTCAACCCTGACATACACTTCATAGCGTAAAACATTAATAAGTTCCAAAGTTCCACATTTTATGGCAATCACAATTCTTGTTGCCTATGCTGCATCAACAGTGTTATCACTTTTTCTAAATCTTATGATGCTGAGAATGATACAGTGGAATGATGGAGCTAATCTACAGTGACACAAATGCTTTCATAGATTCAGGTCAAATGTTATCAGTATTTCATATAACAGGAAATATCCGTTTGCATCAGATCATCTGGCATTTTCTTGTCTGTTTGTTATACATGTGTGAATATGTGCAGACAGAGAGGATAACCATGTATGAGATTTGTGTACCATGGTCTGATTTGTCAGTGACATGCCCTAGTTAAATGACTCCTTGTGCTGTTCCTTGTCAAGTGAATGTATTTAATCAGTGTCCTGAATACACACAGAAACAGAAAATACATATACACACACTTCATTGATTAATTTGCCAATTTTAGTTCCAGATATAATTCATAAAGCCTACATTCAAAATTTCAGCTGTGACACTGGCTTCATAGTTAATATGCCAGCTGAGATTTTTTTTTGTGTTCCTCAGACCCTTAGGGAAAATACCAAGACAGTACCTCCGTCAGGTCACAACCGCTTTCTTCCAAATCCATTCCAGTTCATCACATATCACCCTACCATCTGAAGCTATACTAACATCATTGCTAAATAATCCACAAAAATTTACAGATCATACCCATATTAGATTTGCCAGATGAAACATTAGTGTTCTTCACTGTCACCATGTATGTCTACTGTTCCTTTGTACAGATATAATATGAAATATGCGACTATATATAAAATGCATCTTCATACAAAATTTAATATTCTTAGCTCCAAAGGTTCATTAATTATTGCTACAAAACTGAAAGCTAAACAAAAATTTCTGTATGGCTGCCACACCATACTGTTTTTACATTTTACGGAAGATTACATTAGTGAAAGTCATATTTTTTTTTTCAAATATCAACTACTGTACACAATTTCAGGACCCTACATTAACGGTAATAATAACATTTGTACAAATATTATGTTTTTGGACATCATCCATCACCTTGTCTTTATCTAAAAAATCCATCCTGTTTTATTTTTCAAAACACAATGTTTCAGAGACTGAATTCTGTCTCCGTCCGCAGGTAAAACCTACTCAGTTGGGCCCAATCAACAGAGCTAGTCCCTATCTCCAGACTAGCTCTGTCAATTGGGCCCAACTAAGTACATTTTACCTGAGGACGGAGACAGAATTCAGTCTCTGAAACACTGTGTTTTGAAAAATATAAACAGGAAGGTGTTTTTAGATAAAGACAGGACAATGGATAATGTCCAGAACCATAATATTTGTACTAATGTACATTCATCACAAACTTTCAAATCTTACTGGCAATAACATTTGCTTGAATCTCGCAAGTTTCTGTGCCCAATATGTTCTCATTACTGACTAGAAAATTAGAAGTGTGAGATTTGTGTGGCCTCTATGCCAAATGGTGTGAAAATTGGCACACTTGGTTGTCGACTTACAACAGGCTGCACTTACAACCACAAAAAAAAATGAAAAATAAAAGATGATTAAAATGTAAAAGTTTTTAAAAATATAATATCAAGATGATAAAAAAATTAGAAAGGTTAAAAAATAGTATTAATAAATATATGGCCGATATACGACCAGTTCGACTTACGACCTGTCAGTCAGAACGGAAGTCGGTCGTAAGTCAACGACCAAGTGTACACTGGTTTACAAGCTGAAAATGGGATATACCCACATAGACAGGGAAGAGTGACCTCATAAGCATACTTTTTCCATTCAGAATAGAAATGTATTTTCTAAAACACTGAAGAGGATAACAGTTTATTTGCTGATGGCAACCAGTAGAAAATGTAAACTTGAACATAAAGGTGCAGAGTCCATATAAAATATAAAAGAATAAATTTGACATTTTTCAGCTTTTCACCAAAGCAGACCATACTGGGCCAGCTCCATATTAAGAAAACATAACATTTATGGGGGGTGATGGAAACTAAGTATATGTTACTGTCTCATCACCAAAATGCGGGGCAAAATGATGACATAAAGATAGGAAACATGTTTTGAAAATGTCACACAGTTCAGATATTTGGGAACAATGATAACAGATCAAAGCCTGATTCAGGAGAAAATTAAGAGGCGATTGAACTCGGGTAATGCTTGCTACCATTCAGTCCAGAACCTTTTGCCTTCTCATCTGCTGTCCAAAAACATAAAAATTACAATATACAAAACTATAAGTTTGCCTGTGGTTCTGTATGGGTGTGAAACTTGGTCTCTGACATTAAGGGAGGAACACAGACTGGGGGCTTTTGAGAACAGGGTGTCGAGGAGAATATTTGGACCGAAGATAGATGAAGTGATGGGAGGTTGGAGAAAACTGCATAATGAGGAGCTTCATAACTTGTACTCTTCTCCAAGCATAATTAGAATTATCGAGTCAAGGAGGATGAGGTGGGCAGGTCATGTAGCACAAATGGGAGAGACAAGGAATGCGTATAGGATATTGGTGGGAAAGCCAGAAGGAAAATGACAACTAGAAAGACCAAGGCATAGGTGGGTGGATAATATTAAACTGGATCTCAGAGATATAGGATGGGGTGGTATGGACTGGATTGATCTTGCTTAGGATTGTGACCATTGGAGACCTCCTGTGAACTCTGGAATGAACCTTTGGGTTCCATCAAATGCTGTGAAGTTCTTGAGTAGCTGCACAGCTGGCAGCTTCGCAAGAAGGGTTCAGCTCTATGAGTAAGTAAGTAAGTAAGATGGAGCCAACCAAGTTCAGAAAAAGATTTCAATTTAAACAGATATGAGCAACATTTAAACCAACAATTATGTTTATCCATTAGGAAAATTGAGAATAAAGAATATTTTTGCTTTAAATTAGTCAAGGCTAATGGCAGAAGCTACATTAAGACAATTCATAGCTTCTCAAGAAAGAACTGCAAGCACTCAGTTCTGTGACTGTAATCTTTATATAACCACTTACCACAATCAGCAACACCTCGAGGCAATGCCAGAACACCACTACCGGCCATTTCACCTGCAATGAAAATGGCTGCTGAAAGGACAGTAAGTCCTTTAGGTCTCTTCATGGAACTGTAAATGGATGCATTGTTTCTATTTTCCAGGCAAATGGATTCCTGAAATACTGACTTTCATTCAGTACCAGTTAACATGAAATTATGAAGTTGTTTATTCACCAGTATTAACTCAGAGTTCTCATTCTTGAAAGAATTTTCTGCTGATTGCTAAATATCATTTTGTACAGTAATTCAAAACACGTAATTTTTGTATTATCAACTATAGTGTAAACAGAACTTCAATATAACTAATATGAAAAAAATGTTTTATTCTAGTGGGATCAGAAAGATCTAAATAGGACTGTAAAATAAACAAATACAAATATAATTCCTTAAAACTTTGTGCTTGTTTCAGTTTGTGCCTTAAGTAGATTTCCCCATGTTGGAAACCTATTACACCTCTGACATTGTTTCATTATAGCAAACACCCACTAAAGTTAATTCAGCTCTTTGGTGTTTACTCTGTCTGGATGCTGACAATGCTGCCGACGTTTCGTGGGATCATACTTCCTCCGAAACGTGGGTAACAACGCCCACATAAGCAAAATGTAAAATCCCAAAAGGTGAATTAACATCACGTTAAACACAGGAAAAGCCTAAGATCACTAATTGCCAATAACTGTTATCAGTTTCTTTTGATGTGATAATATAATTATTAATATGATAACACAATTACTTTTAAAAATGAGCGGGAAATATTAATAAAATGAATTATAATACAAACCTCTTCACGAGCACAATTTAATTCACTGGAAATTTTTCGTTTCTCACCAAAATCTATGGAATTGTCTATCTGATAATAGCCTGAATATTTATTTATTCCGCTCATCTTGCAATAAATCTAGATCACACACTCCTTAACGCTCCTTAGCACCGCGTCCCAGTCAGGGGCAGGGTGATCCAGCTGATCCAGCCAATGCTATTGGCCCTATTGGCGGGCAACATAACCACCGTGACGTCATGAAGCATCACTGCTGCCACTTTCTTGATAAAAAAAATGGCTACAGCCAGTGCCGAGGGCTCGGTCGGTAAGAAAGTATGCTATCATAACACCTGTCCTGTCGGTAAGAAAGTATGCTATTACAAGTATACCACCAGCATTTTTTTTTACTGCTCCCTCCCAGAAAATCACTGGCTAACACGTATAGCTAGAATTAATAATCGATGTAAATGAAATGTTCATATTTTACAGGCACTGTTGGGAAACTTTCTCCCAATAAATAATGTTGCAACCTGATATCTTGTACTGCAGAGGTTCTTACTACGTTGTGTGTTTTCTGTTTTCGAACTGAGTATAACATCACTTCGCTCAAAACAATCTGGAGGGGAATGAGTAAAATGGTATCAAACTCAGTTCAAAAACAGAAAACACACAATGGAGTATGAACCTGTGCAGTACAAGATATCAGGTTGCAACATTATTTATCAGGAGAAAGTTTCTCACCAGTGCCTGTAAAATAAGAACATTTCATTTACATCAATTCAACACCTCCTTACTGAAATGCAATGGATATTTGAACTATAACATATATAGAATACTTGTGTTTAGGAAAGCTGATGGTGGGTAAACTTGAAAGAAAATTCTGCTTCCAATCAGAGATACTTGTATTAAACTTCATAATTTTGCGTATAACTTATACCTGAAAGCTGCACAGAACATAGCTTTTCAGTTACATTAATGTGTTATATATCATGTATAGGGAGTAATAATACTGAGGTTTCCATTTGTTATTAATTTCAGTAGTATAATGAAACTCGAGAATCTGATACACACTCTTGTGAACAAGATTAAGATTGCATTTAATAATATACGAAAAGCAATAAAATAATTGCAGAACTCTTACAAACCCCTTTTTTTTTTANTAGGAAAGCTGATGGTGGGTAAACTTGAAAGAAAATTCTGCTTCCAATCAGAGATACTTGTATTAAACTTCATAATTTTGCGTATAACTTATACCTGAAAGCTGCACAGAACATAGCTTTTCAGTTACATTAATGTGTTATATATCATGTATAGGGAGTAATAATACTGAGGTTTCCATTTGTTATTAATTTCAGTAGTATAATGAAACTCGAGAATCTGATACACACTCTTGTGAACAAGATTAAGATTGCATTTAATAATATACGAAAAGCAATAAAATAATTGCAGAACTCTTACAAACCCCTTTTTTTTTTATCTGTTTCATTCTGGTCCGTCACACTAACAATTACAAAGACAAAAATAACTCTGTCCAGCAAGCCACAAACAAACACGGACGATACTAAGAATCTCCTTCACAAGATAGACAGGCGGCACAAGTTCAGCCCCCTCCAAGAAAGACGATAGGAGAAGTGACACGAACCTGCATGGTTTATAAAATTTTGACTTAAACAACAAAGTTTTTAAAAACTTTAAAAGTTTTAATACCAGAAAGGCTGCTGTGATTGTGAAAAGTTGAATATTGTGTATTTCAGGCATTGCGTGTGTATGTAATTTAGCACTCAGAACACCTTTTGTGATAGTGGTTTCCGAATAAGTATTGATATTTCCTCTGAAGATGATCCGTAAGGATCGAAACAAGTAAGGGTACTGAGTTTTCAAGTGGTAAAACTTATATAGTCACACTGCACAGAGTTGTTTTTGTCTTACAAACCTCATGATCTGAAACATGCTCATGTTTCCAAAATAATAAATTAACTGAACAAATATTATGAACCTTGAAAGTATGATATATATATCATACTTTCAAGGTTCATTAATATATATATATGTGTGTGTGTGTGTTCATAAGTTCATTGCTGAACACAATAATATGGCCAACATAATAAAATAACTGAAGGAATATAATGAACCTTGAAAATCTTATGTTTATATTTATGTTCACAAGATCAATGCTGAACACAATAATATGGTCAAAATAATGCAATGAATCAAGGGATATACCAATATTAACAAATTAGATGAATAAAATATGTAGACACTATATGTAAGCAGTGTCCGTCTTTTAGTGCACTCAATTTTACTTGTTATTTCACAACATGTTTTGGCACTACAGTGCCATCATCAGGTGCTCCATTTATGTCAATCCATTTCATTGCTTGCCATTACATCATTGTAAAATTTAAAAAGTATTTAAAAATATTCGTAAATGGAGCACCTGATGATGGCACTGTAGTGTCGAAACATGTTGTGAAATAACAAATAAAACTGAGTGCACTAAAAGACGGACACTGCTTACATATAAGCGACGAAGATCAGTGCAACAGGATGCTAAAATACAACATTATGTAGACACTAATAAGTAAAACTTCCTACCTAGGAAGTAGTTAATAAATTTAATTACAAAATATACACTGAATTCTGACATTGATTCTGCTCCTCAGTGTTTCACGCTGAAACGGGTAACCTGAAGATTGCAAGTCAATTATAAAGTAATGCCACTTCAATCTTACCCACATATAAATAAGAGCCATTTGAGTCAGAAAATAATTTCCCACACAATTCTTGATTGAAGTATAATTATTTGCAGATAAAGGGCAGAATGAATTCTGACCATCATCTGACAATGATGTTCTAATACACTGGGAAGAAGGAAACAAGTCTGCAAAGTAAGGAAGAGATGGCGCTCAAGATCAGAATAGGTTTCTTGTACGTAATCTGACTGTAGGTGACAATGTTATCAACAAATTACTATATACCAGAGGTTTGAGACAAGAGCATGTGAAGGGATGGTAGTTGGAGTTGCTTGTCACCAGGGTTACTTTCCCCAACTTATGAAACATCTATTGATGCTCATGTGAGCAATTGGAATATATTATTCCAGTAATTCAATAATTGCTGTCTGCTGATTTCCAGGGCTGGTATGGGCAGGATATTACAAAGCAAAGATGGAGAAGCATTACTTTCCTAATGACTTACTGATGTTTCAGTATCTTAATCTTCCTCTTTGTGGCCCTTTTCCTGGCTGATTCAGTCATCAAACTGTTTGTCCGCTTACACCACCAAGGAATGTAAATTCTTGTGAGACATCTCACAATACCATCTACTATTCATTGGTAGTGAAGTGAACAACCAGTACACCTGATCCTCTTGAAGTCAGTGGTGCTCTTAATGGCAGCTATGATATGCTGCAACATGAATTGAATTGCCTGCCATCATAGATTCCATTAGAGTTACAGTGGATGGTAGGACATATGAACAGAGCAGCTCCGCAGCTTTGGCTGTAAATAGTGGTGAATCAAATACGGTGGCATGTATTGGCTGTGCTGAACTTGAATTAGAACTGAAAAGGATTCAAATTGAGTTAAAATCTACCGAGGAAATTGTGAAGTTACTTCGTGAAGAGATAATGGCGGAAAATGGCGTAAGTGGTGAGCTACGTGATAATGCTTCTAGTGGCGAAGTGCAAAGGCCCTTAGGATTACATCAAGTAAATGATGGTTTAAATAAAGATAGCCACGTGCAAAAGGACAGAAGTAATAAAATAAAAGAACTAAAGAGTGATATTACTGAACTGAACAATCTTTTAAAATATGCTGTAAGACAGTCAGTAAAAGAGGTTATCTCAACTGAAGTGAATATTATTTTAGCAAAGATAGAAAGTTTATATGAAAACACGAGTGAACAAGAGATAACTGAACCTAGTTGGGCCGAATTAGTGACCAGAAGACACAAGAGAAATAATAGTGATAGATGTGATAACACCTATAGCATACCGGTCATAATAAATCGCTACAAACTACCTTGTGATATTGAAGCCAATGAAACTCAGACTTTTAGCTCAGCTGGGAACCAAAAAATAAGGAAACCCTTTAAAAAGCAAGTATCATCAAGAAAAAAGAGACATAGGATCATAATCATTGGAGATAGCCATGGAAGAGAATGTGCATCCAAAATATCATATAACCTAGACAGTGACTACGAAGTGCAAGGGATCATAAAACCAAATGCAGACTTAATGGCGATCACAAATACAGTGAAAGAAGAGGTCAAACTTCTAACAAAGAATGATGTAGTGGTTGTATGGGGTGGCACAAGAGATGTAGGCAGGAACGCAACTACTAGCGGCTTGAATCAATTGAAAGACTTCTACAGTAAAAATTATCAAACGAATATTATTCAGATGGGTGTACCACACAGACATGATCTACTTGCTGATTCCTGTGTAAACAAAGAAGTAGAGAACTTCAATAGAAAATTAGGTAAAGTAGTGAAAGCTTTTGAGCATACAGCTCTTATAAATGTGGATATACATAGAGAACTATATACAAAACATGGATTACACCTAAATGACAAAGGGAAGGAACTAGTGGCTAGGAAGATAATCCCAATTATAAAGCACATGCTATATAAAAAAACTAAGGAACCAATTAGCATGAACTGGAACCGAGATAAGGAAGAGGATACAGCAACCCAGGAGAGCGAAGAAGTGAAATCCTCAGCACAACCATCTCGGAATGGGGCAGTACAAACTAAGAGTACAACAACCCAGGGGAGCGAAGAAGTGAAATCCCCAACAAAACCATCTTGGAACGGGGCAGTACCAACTATAAGAGACCAGCAGCAGGGAACTC